TGCTCTAATCACTATGACTGATTTCCTCTTATTAATTGTTTAACCAGTTGGTTATGTATTCAATTTTTTTTTCTTTTTGAGTATTTAATTGAATTAGTGCTAATGGGTTTGTATTCACACAATTAAACTTAAAAATGTAAAATAATAATAAAATTATTTAAAAAGCATCACGCAAGTTTCTTGCCCTTCCCCCGAACGAGCGGTAAATTAAAAAAAATGTAATGACTTTTCAAAAGTGCTTCAATGTAAGTTTATTTGAATAAATGATTTCTATTCTATTCTATTCTATTCACTTGTATTAGGCTATACATATACGCCGACCAGGTTACCATTCCATTTTCATCCATTAAAAACATTTAGGTATCAATTTTTTCTATTATTATGTAGTCAAAAACACATTGGACCAGTTAGGATTGACAGTTTAATTATTATAAAAAATATGAGAATAATCTATTAATAAAATTCTGCCAAGAAGAAACCAAAGGAGTTAATTTGAAAATAACGGTATTGCGGCAAATCCAAAAATAGCAAGATTTAGCCGGCCAATTATATCACAAGTTGACATTCTCAGCTCCAGCTCTAGACAAGCTTTTAATATAATTATGCGAAATCCAATATTTCTGCCAGGCCCGATTTAATTTCTGTCTTATGCTCTTGTTATTTAATAAATAAATATAAATAGTGTCAATTAGTTACAAGTAATTATATCCTGATTATAAGTACTTGAACAATTTAACAACTTTTGCATAGATCAAGAATTATTTATTATAACTTAATATATATTTTCTTAATTACTAAAAAAAAATATAAAATCTAAGGAGATTTAATATCACAAAAATATAAATAATAAATACCTAATTGAAGCTTACAATAATATCTATATTACCTTACCGTCGATTTAAATAAAAAAAAAAAAACACTCACACAGCACTAAAAATATTAAGCACAAAAATTAAAAAATAATTTTCTTTGCACTTACTTCCGGGATAACTCGAAAAATGCCGCCTGTAAGTAAGATGGCGGATTGCGAAAGCGCGCGAAATGTCAAGTTGCGTGTTGCGCGCGTCAATTGATATTGGCGTGAATGTTACAACAAAACGACGCGAATAAACTGACTATTAGCTCGTTATATAATTATTAACGTGCCTTAAGTTTGGATTACAGCTAGAAGAATTTTTATCGCAGAGTCTGCGTTCCCGGCCAGCCAACATACGTGACTAAGACGTTTTCTCATGCTTTTAATATAAAATTTAGGTGGCAGCAGGACGCGTGGAAATGCGCTGTGGTTGCGATGTATTTCGGAACATGTAATAAGTCATAACGCTCGATTCATGCTTTCCGTCAAATAATAATACATCGAATACAAAATAAGTTCCATATTCATATAAATTACCATTTATCTTTAAAGAAGGATAATTTATCCTGTGTACTTAATTTATTTAGTTCCACTAATTTGCTTAATTTAAACATAATAATTGAAATAACATAAAACAAATCTCTATTTCTTTTTTCTTGTCATACTTATTACTTTCTATACGTCCTCTTCTTTCAACCTATAACTAGTCACGCGTTTTATATTTCTAACATTATCCTCTTGAGAGGAAAGGGGATTGTTACTAACAGCTACATTCCCATCAATCGCACGTCAATCTCCACGTACTTTTGCCTGGAAACTATCGTATTTGATTTCCGATGCGTTTGTCGCAATGGGCCAACTGACCTGACTTTATCTGCACGTATCATCCCACACGAGTACCTCGCCAGAGGAAACCAATATGAGATGAAATCTCTATTTCCTTTTCATCCATTAAATAGAACATTGTATTTGTAATCTTGATTTTTTTTTATAATGAGCAACTAACCTGTTTGGGGAAAAGGGATTAACTAGCAATATACCCTATCAGGTCAACCTCTACGTGGCTCCAGAAACCATCGTTAATTCTTGTCGAATTCGTCATGATAAGTCAACTGGCCCTCATTTATCCTTATTTTCATCTCTTACGGGTATCCCGCCAGCGTATTCCAATAGCGCAGGTAGGGTTACCATTCCATTTTCACTAACTAAAAAAAGAACTAGCTTGTTTTCATCCTCGCTTATCATTCCGCACTCGTGTCTCGTCAATACATTATACCAATAGCACGGTCAGGGTTACCATTCTGTTATAATTACATTATTACTCATATCTATAAAAAAAAGAACAAAAGTCGTGTAGAAGCAAATGTAGAAGTAAGTACAACAGAGTAAAAATTGTTACAATTTTTTTTTTATTTTTAGGTCATAAACGAAGACTAAAGAAACAAAGCACGGTATGCCCATATAAAGAAAATAAAAAAAAAACTATATGAAAACCATAAATACATATTTTAATAATCCCATAGTCCTTACTCACACGACAAAACCTAGCTCGCTACAAATAACACAAGAACACACTTTTAGATCAAGGTGCACATTCCTGAGTTTAATAACCTGAGAACAATTTACACAAACGGCCAAAATTGTGACAAGGAATGCATGCGTCCTCTAATAATACCGATCTCAATCTATTATTAGTTAATATAAGTACATACCTACCTAAAATATAAAGCTAATAATAGCTGCCTTTCATTACAAGAGCTTTGTAATGTTTTTCGACAGCTGTCGTTACCAAAGTATAATATTTCGCCGTTACCACTCGTATGAATTTTTTTTTCTCTTTGAAACAATTTATAATGCACTTAAAACGTCGTTTATTTTAGAATGTCGTGTGAAGTAGATATGTACGCATTAATTGTGAATCTGTGTTAACATATGAAGAGATATGTCTCAAATACCAGAGGGAAATTTTGTACAAAAGTCTTGGTCTTTGTGCTTGGGCATCTCTGTCCCATACGTGTTTCAACCGTAAAGCAGTTGTGTTTGCATGGCTGTGTTTCGGTTTGAAGGATGGGGTATGGCGTGAATTTACAGGGTACAGAGGAATAACACTTGAGTCCTCAGGAATGGCAACGCATGGGAGGGGGGGAGGGGATATCATGGGCGAAACAATATACTCTGTTATGTCCATGGTACTGCTCTCATGTCTATAGGCGACGGTTACCACTTTCCATCAGGTGGCACGTCAGCTTTTCTGTTATTCTAAGTTGCATAAAAAATATAAATTACTACAAGATCTGAATAATCTGTGGGTATTAGAAAGAAACTATGTGAGGTGGTATAAAGTAACATTGGTAGTAAATTTACAGTGCACGAAGCCATTACACCTTAGACCTTAGGAGTGGCCACGTATGAAGAGTATCATGGACGATGTATCATGTAATATCCAAAGAGCTGTTCATGTCTACGGTGACGGTTGCCACTATCTATCAAGTGATCTATTAAGTTATTTGCCATTCTAAATAGCATAAAAAAAGCCAATTAAGCGCGAGTTGTACTTATTCGCAGAGTTCCCTAAATAGAAGATGAAATTATCTTATATATATAAATGATTTTTATATAAATGCCTATAATTATTATTAGTGGAGGGGGAGATATTATCAGTAATTAGATATAACAGCCCCATTGCTACCAATACACCCCCTGGAAACCCTCATGGTTAATTCTTGTGGAATTCTTTAGAATGGGCTGACCTGAACGGACCTGTTAGTGATAGCGCAAGCAGAGTTATCATTCCATTTTCACCCATTAAAACAATTAGTGATTGTTATTAATAGTGTAATTCAGATTTTTTTTTTATTTTTGGGCTATTTGTGTTAAGATGTAAAAATAACTCACATTTTTTTTATACAACTTAGAATGGCAAACAAGCTGACGGTCCACCTGATGGAAAGTGGTAACCGTCGCCTATAGACATGAGCAGTACCATGGACATAACAGAGTATACTGTTTCGCCCATGATACCCCCTATTCGTTGCTATTTCTGAGGACTCAGGTGTTATTCCTCTGTACCCAGTAAATTCACGCCATATCCCACCGTTCAAACCGAAACACAGCCATGCAAACACAGCTGCTTCACGGTTGAAACACGAATGGTACAAGAGGTATCCAAGCAATCGACTTTTGTACAAAGTCTCCCTCACATAAACTAATAAGAGCATAACAGAGTTTGTTTTTGAATATTTTGATAATATCTCGAAAATTGTAGGTATTAGTTGAAAACACCGTTTTATTTTTTCGATAATATTGGCATATACTCGTATACTTTACATGGACTAGCTTTTTGCCGGCTACCGCTTGAAATCTAGAAGAAAGAAAACTGTGACTTCGACCACTTCTCGATGGAGTATCAAAATAAAACATACACCAATTTTTTTTTTTTAATGGATGATAATGAAATGGTAGCGCCGTCTGCGGTATACGCTGGCGGAGCACCAGTGAGCGATGATACGTGAGGATGAAAGCAGGTCCGTTAACCCGTCGTGACGAATTTCACTAAAATTAATCATGATAGTTTCCATGAGGAACCGCGTGGAGGTCGATCTGATAGGGTATATTACTAGTAATAAAGAAATTAGACCCCATTACTAACAATCCTTCCCCGAAATTTTAAGTTAGGCTTTCTGGAACACCACTATAAAAACTACATTCAAGTTGGTGCAATAGTTTTTAAATGAGATACTACATACGTACATACTATGCAACATAAAAATAATTAAATGTTTTTATATCAGACTATAAGCCTGGATCAGTGTTGAAAATAAAGATACCTTTAAAAACCAAAATTATTTTCGACGCCCTCTGTCATGTAGCAATGTAATTAAAATAAATTACTTCTCTACTGCCATCTATTGAAATATAAGATTATGAATGAAGACTCTCTCCACATTTACTTTGCTCTATTTCTAAGATTTCTTGAAAATTATTTTTATCCACTAATAATAAAAGAATAATTTAAGTTAAAATGAAATAAAATTATTTTAATCTTGTCTATAACAAAATTTCGGTTCTCAGTCCACAAATTCTACCATTTTCTACTAAACTCATGGTAGTTTATGGTTGAATTGAATCAATTTGAACGAAAGTGCTTTGCTTTGCTTTGCTCTGTTCTGTTATTCAGTCAATTTCAGTCACATTCTAGTTTTAAAATAATTTGCCAAATGTGAAATAAAGTCTAGTTAAATATATATCATAAGAGATAATGAAAACAAAGTTTAACAAATTAAACCCTAGTTTATTTAATCTAATTAAAAACCAACGACCTTTTTGATTAATTAAACTTCTATGTATGTATAAACAAACAGCTGTAGTGTTGTAAATGTGTGCTTAAACCACTTGTTGCATCCACTTTCAAAAAGTGTAGCTATTTATGTTACGTTCTGTGCTATTCACCTGTTTATGAGAAAGTAATCTTCACTACTTATCAAATCAAACATTTAGATTCACGTTATCAGTTTACCGTTATGGTTGACGTTAAAATTTTATGTTAGAACGTGTGGATTTCGTTAATTAATGCTTATGTTCGTTACGATGCACCTGCAATGCACTCAATGCAACTAGTCTCATGGACTTATTACTGTGTTATCGTAATTCTGACATGAATAACGCAAATAATAAAAAAGAGTCGGCAGTTTATCGTTACATGTTCGCTCATTTTGAGCAGGTAAATAAATCTAACCCACCGAAGTAGTCATCAGACCCAAAAAATGACTCATACGTGGTCACTGGCAAGAAGATATTGTTTTGTTTTTATGAAAATTCCGTACTGATGACAGTGCAAGTGGTTTTTATTAAAAAAAAAATAGTACTGTGTATTTGTGCGCGTGGAGAGGTGTTCTTCGTTTAAATTTTTAAAAGTATCACTGCGCGGCAATCTTTGGGATACCAAAGTTTTCTGTCTAAAATGTGTGACTAAAATGGCTCAAAATTCAATGGATTCAGACAGATTATCTTCTGCTGGTATTTCAACACATAGCTCCGGCACTGCAGGCACTGTAGGAGGCTCTGTAATAGGTGTAAGGGTGGGTGATCCAAATCATAAGAGAGAAGATGAAGATGAGTACAATTTAGGACCATTGCCTCCAATGTGGGAAAAGGCATTTACACCATCAGGGGAGACTTATTTTATTGAGTAAGTATTATATTATTATTATTATTTAATAATATACTATTTTATATTTTCATGTAAGTTTTATTAATAAATAATACTGAAGTGATACTTTACTACTCCATTAGGTATTCATCATAAATACAATATAATACAATTTTACCTTATGATAATCCATAGGATAATAAATTTGGGAAATAATCAATTTAAAATATTACTGTAAGAAATTGGTTTAGAGAACTGGTACTTCAGAATGGAGCCTAATATCTTAAAACTGTACATAAGTATACACATTACAATACTTATGTAAATAATTAATATGCCAAATCTTGTTAATATATGCAACATCCCTAAAATTACCTAGTGACCTACATCTTTATACTGTTACTAGACATAGAGACAAATATACCTTTTTTTTTAATGGGTGATAATGAAATGATAACTCTGCCTGCGCTATTGGTATATGCTGGTGGGGCACCAGTGAGGGATGATAAGTGAAGATGAATTAGGTCAGTTAGCCCATAATGACAAATTCAACAATGAACTCAATGAAATCAAAGTCACTATGGTTTCAAGGGAGAATCTCAAGTAGGTCGATCTGATAGGGTATATTGTTAGTAATAGGGTTGCTAATCTCCATTACTAAAAATCCCTTCCCCCCCCCCCCCCCCCAAATATACCATTTATACAACAAAAACCTTTACAAAGTTTGCCATTTGTAACAATTCCTTTATTATTATACTAGTTTTAAATCAAAAAGAGGGGGGAAAGGAATTGGTAATAATGAGATTTACCAACCCCATTGCTAGCAATATACCCTATCAGGTCGACCTCCACGTGGTTCCCCCTGGAAACCATAGTGGTTCATTTTTGTTCAATTGATCACTATGAGCCAACTGACGTGTCTTCATCCTCACCTGTCACCCGTCACTGGTACCCTGCCAGTGCAGGCAGTGTTATCATTTCATCTTCACCCATAAACAACAAAAAAATCAAAAAGAGGGGTAAAAGGGAATATTAGTAGTGGGTATCAATAGCCCCACTCTTAGCAAAATACCCTGTCAAGTTGAACTCCATACTGTTGCCCCTGGAAACTATATTATTTAATTCTTGTGGAATTCATTACATTGGGCCAACTGACCTACTTTCGTTCATACCTATCATTCCTAACTGGTATCCTGCCAGTGTATACAATTATTACAGGCAGTGTTATTATCCATTGAAAAAAATAAAGGTAGATTCTGAATTATTAGCTTATTTATATCATATATATAGCTGTCTTTAGACAGCTATGCTGATATATTTACATCCAATTAAGTGATCATTAAACTTAACAAACTAAATCATTAACAAGTCAATGAGTAGAAATCAAACATGCTCTGTACACTCACACTCAAAAGTAATTATGATGGAATATAATATTATATTAAAATAAAAAAAAATAATAAAATAAACAATAATATATCTTAATCAACCACATGCCATATAAGACAAACAAATGAATCATAAAAAATCCATGAATGCTTAGTTTGTGAAATAAGCTTTCTGCCCTTCTGTATTCCTGTAGTTAGTTTTTTAAAGTTAGCAATCCTGAGGGGATTCATATATGTCTGACAGAGATTGATAGATAGTAGTATCAGGTGGGTTACATTATACTTATTACCATTCTGATTGAAAAAAAAAATCTGGTGGAAAGTAGATTCAGCCACTTATGGGCATGAACAATACAGCTACATTGCAGGAAAAGAGATTGTTAATAATGGGAACTAACAGCTGCATTGCTAGCAATATATCAACTCAATATATACCTATCAATTCAACCTCCACATGGTTGCCCCCTGGAAACCATTGTCATTACTTCTTGTTGAATTTATCAGAATGGCTTAACTTACCTATTTTTTTCATTCTCACCTATCATTACCTCACAGTTGCCCCACCATCATATACGGATAGTGCATGCAGGATTACCATTCTATTTCATAGAAAAAGTACCAACAAGTAGACACAATCTATGGTTCAATGTCTTTAGCATTCACATTCAAATCAACTTTATTTAAATAGATTTGTTTACAAACACTTTTAAATCCTTTATCTTACCTTTATTTTCTATTATCCTACTGCTAGCCTAAGAATGTTGTTATCTGCCATTCTTGGCATTTTAGTTTCTTAAATGTTCTTCTGAACATGCAAAAAACTGAACAATTACTCTTTTCAGTTTACATTTATGTTTGTTATCCATTACAGTTTACATACATTTATATTGTTTGTTATTGGAATACCATTCCATAATAAAGTGGGTTACCATCTCACTTGTTCTAACAGTATATGCTGGCCAATCACGATGGCTTCCATGTGATCACCTGAAGGTCATCCTTACAAAGGTATATTGCTAGCAGATGGACTGGTAGTCTACATTGATATCAATCCCTCCCCTCCCCTCTCATTTATAATATTAACACATTAATATGTATCCTTTGTGTCTGATGTATATTTATTTAAATATCGATATTATAATCAGATACAAACCTAGGTTTTGAACTAATTGAGTCAATTCTTCCACCTAATTCCCAACATAAATATCTAGTACATCTAATTTTGTTTGCTCTCTGTAACTGTACATTACTTTTTCCTGTATTGGCACCTGATACAACACAGACCAGTCTTGGTTGATTATTCAAACACATTGAAAGTAAATATTTTAAATTGTAACACCAAAGATATTAGCATTATTTTTATAAATTGCTTTATTTAAAATTTTCTATCTATGATGTGTAATTAAAAGTATAAAATATAAAATTTATTTATCTATACTTTTGTGCTATGTGGTTTTTTAAAGATATTGTGTTTTTATGTAATACAAAAAAAGTGAAAAGGTAAACCAGTTCATTAAATTAACACATGTAAAGAGTAGGTAGGTATTTATGACTATTAGTTGTTCTGTGTAAAGAGTGAAACTTGTGAAAATACTGTACAATGTGTAGTCATTGAGTAATCAAGTTTAACATTGTAATAAGACAATATAAGACCTCTACATATATATGATGGACATTTTGTCTGCAATTCAACCTCTGTTAACTTGCACATAACAATGTATGTGTATTGTAACATACAATTTATTTATTTACTAATTGTTACTGGGGACTTTGTCCGCGTGACCGATATATATTCAGTGCCTGGAATAAAAAGTACCCTATGTCCTTCTGTATCCCAAATAGTACGAGAATACCAAACAGTAAACAAGCTCTATTTCTCATTTATAATATTAAGTAAGATTTTTTTCCCATTGTGCATCACTTTGTGCACCCATTGACGCATAGACCTCCTTTAGTTTGTTCTACCTATCTTTGTTTTTAAGCTATTTCTAACGACAATGATCCTAGTATAGGTCTAAAAAACAATATACTTTATCAAGTCGACCTCAATACGGTTCGCCATGGAAACTGTCATGGTTAATTCTTTTCAAATTTACCTCAATGGGCTAATTGACTTGCTTTCATCCTCACCTATATCTTTAACTAGTACCCCGCATATATTGATTGTTTATCAAGGCTTACCATTCAATTTTATCGCAAAAAAAAAGAATGATTCTGCAATTGTCTTGATATAATCTCTTTGGTTAATTCTAGTGCAATTCGTCATGATGGGCTAACTGATCTGCTTTCATCGTCACCTATCATCTCACACCGGTGCCCCGCCAGCGTATACCGTTAGCGCAGACGGGGTGACCATTTCATTATCACCCATTAAAAAAAGATATAATCTCTTTCTCGGTAGCCCTTTGCTTCTTTTAACATCGTGTGGTTGCCACTCTAGTTTTTTGTTTCATTTTTCTTTTGCTTCTCTCACAATGTGACCAATTCATTTAGATTTTTCACTTTAAGTATCGCATTTTCAACTATGATCTTTATGTCACTGCCTTTTTTTTGTTTCTTTGTAACAGTCCCAAGATATTTCTCTCCATTGCTTTTTCGGCCTTTTGTTTTTTGAGTTAATGACCAAATTTGAACATCCATATGAAAAACCAGGGAAGAATACAAGTGCAGCAAACCTTGAACTTTGGCAAAGAACAAAATGTACAAATATAAAACAAAAAATACAGTTTTTTTGTTTATATTGTAAAACATGTAATGTCAGACTGTGGTGGCCACTTATCATCAGGCTAATCATATGCTTAAACTCTTAACAAATCCGTTTATTTCCAGTCACAACACCGGCACGTCACACTGGCTTGATCCACGATTAGCAAGGGTACGGAAACACTCCCTAGGTGAATGCGGAGAGGATGAACTTCCATACGGATGGGAGCGCGTCACCGATGAGAGATATGGGTCGTACTATGTGGACCATATCAACAGAAGAACGCAGTACGAGAACCCTGTGCTGCAGGCTAGGAGATTGAGGGGTAAGTTGCTTTTAAAATATGTACAGATTTTAATTAAAATTATTAGAAACCTTTAAAAATATCTATGTTCCTTTTTTTTCTCTTTATGTGTATCTGTCACTGTTTGTTTTTACTTGTATGTTGTAATTTTTGCAAATATTTGCAAAATTACCAGAGGGAAACTTTGTACAAAAGTTGATTGCTTGGGTACCTCTGTCCCATTCGTATTTCAACCGTGAAGCAGTTGTTTGCATGGCAGTGTTTCGGTTTGAAGGGTGAGATATGGTGTGAATTTACAGGGTACAGGGGAATAACACCTGAGTCCTTAGGAATGACAACGCATTGGGGGGTGGGGGGGGGGGTATTATGGGCGATAACAGTATACTCTGTTATGTCCATGGTACTGCTCATGTCTATAGGCGACGGTTACCACTTTCCATCAGGTGAGCCGTCAGCTTATTTGCCATTCTAAGTTGTATAAAAACAATTATCAGGTGGGCAAGGCAGTACCCCGCTAAATTTCTATGGCCAATCTGAAAATATATCTTTTAAGATAAAAAAAAAAAAAGAATTCTTAGAAGACATACCAAAAGATTAAAAAAAATCAATCAAATAGAACCTCTTCCTTTATTTGAAGTCGATTGAAAATCAGCCCTTAAAACAGACTTTATAGGCTGATTTCCATAATAACTTCGATATCTAATATATAAAATTCTCGTGTCGCGGTGTTTGTTACCAAACTCCTCCGAAACGGCTTTACCGATTTTCATGAAATTTTGTGTGCATATTGGGTAGGTCTGAGAATCGGCCAACATCTATTTTTTATACCCCACAATGATAAGGGTGACCCACCCTTAAATTTTTTTTTAATTTTTTTGAAAAAATTTTGTATTTTTATTTTAATATGATTTAGCATTGAAAAATACATACAAATTCAAATTTTAACGCTTTTACGATCAACCCCTGTTGTTTAATTTCAATTTTTATATGCCGCAATAGGGTTGCAAGACGATAATTGTAATACAATATATTTTTATGTATAGTTCTAGAAATAATGTATTTGGTAAAATAACGTTTACCGAGTCAGCTAGTAATATAATAAATATTTCACATTTCTTTGTAATAACATATATAACTCTAATTTACAGCGGTCAACACGCCTGACTGCGACGTGGAGGCCCTGGGTTCGATCCCCGGCCAGGTCATGATGGAAAACGATCTTTTCCTGATTGTCCTGGGTCTTGGATGTTTATCTATATATGTATCTATTATAAATATAGTATCGTTGAGTTAGTATCCCATAACACAAGTCTCGAACTTACTTTGGGGCTAGCTCAATCTGTGTGAATTGTCCGTATATATTTATTTATTTATTTACATTCAAAACTTAGTAGTATTAAGTCCGCCTTATGTACCAGATTTTTTTTTGTAATGTGGTCAATAAAGAATAAATAAATAAAGCTTCACTGCTTTCCCGTGGTGGATTTTATTTGCAAAATACTTATTATACATATAAAAAACAATTAATGTTTAGAGTACCGTAACGTCTTATAAAAGCATTGTGATTTCGATGCCCTCTCTTAACTTGATATTAAGAGTGGGTAAGCAAACGCAGTTAGCTTTGGTAATGTTTTATATATGGCAGTTAAGTTCCCTTAGTGCCTCTTACAACCCCCACGACAAAAGGAGTGGTCCATTCTATGCCGGAACCACACGGACACGGCTAATTGTATTGTATTGTAAAATCTTTATTGTACATTTATTTTGGATACATTAAAAGATTGAATGTACAATTGCGGACTTGTCCTATAAAGGGATCTCTTACAGTCAACCTTTGAGAAGCTGAAAGAAAACTGTAAAATGTACAAGGGTAATAACCGTACAGCTAAAAATAAACTGAATAATATCTAGTAAAAATTTAATATATTTAATACAATAAAAAATAACTGTATACAACTACATATGTAAATAATAATAATACATAAAAAATAAAATAATTATTTTATAAAATGCTAAAATTTACACAACATACCTTTTATAATGCCAACAATGCGTATGAGAATCGCCTATAATGCAAATTTTGAGGCCATGCAACAATATTAATTACTGTACTCAGGTTACAATATCTTATTAAGGTCAGTGCTCAGTTGTTATCTAGAGAACAGGTAATAATAATATTATTATAATATAATATTATAAGTATTTTTTTAATGGGTGATAATGGAATGGTAACCCCGCCTGTGTTATTGGGATACGCTGGCGGGGCACCAGTGAGGGATGACAGGTGAGGATGAAAAAGCAGATCAGTTAGCCCATCGTAACAAATTCCACTAGAATTAACCACGACTTTTTTCCACCATCAACGTCCAGAGTAACCCAATATATAGATATCAAATCGGTATCCATATTGCCCATGCCTAATATATATATACCTATGTATATATTTTTTTTTATGAACTTAGAATGGCAAACAAGCTGACGGCCCATGATGGAAAGTGGTAACCGTCGCCTATAGACATGAGCAGTACCATGGACAAAAAAGTTTTTTCGCCCATGACACCCCCTATTGCTTAAGAAACACGAATGGGACAGAGGTAAAGCAATCGACTTTTGTACAAAGTCTCCCTCTGGTAAATACTATGAATACTAAATAATATATATATATATATACTAAATATATATATATATATATATATATATATATCCCTTTAACAACTCGTTCTCACTACAAATATGTAAATAGACATGCCTTCTGAGATTCGCATGCAAATGATCGCAATCGTCGAAGTAAAAGTCGCGGTGAATGAACATAATTGTTGGAATTATTCATACATAATGACTAACTGCCGTGAAAGATGTACGGGCAACGCGAACGGACAGGAAATAATTATTTTCCAAGTGTGTACAAACATTTTGAACATCAATGGTTCCCAAGGTAGTTTAGATGGAAGCACTTTCTATAACTAATTGTCCTCCATGTGCCTTTTTATATAACGCTAGGCACTCGCCCCGGATTCAGTTCTATCATCATCATCATTTCAGCCGTCATCCGTCCACTGCTGGACATAAGCCTCCCCCATAGACTGCCATAAAGAACGGTCCTGAGCCACCTGCATCCACTGACTCCCTGCAACGCAGTTCTATGTTACTAAATATTTTTTTAAAATCCGTTAAGTATTTTTTTTGTATATGTCTATTGCAAACAAAAAAAAAACAATTCTTGTAAATATTCTTTATTGCACTAAAACATAGTAATAATAACATTAGAAACGATGTAAGCAAATAAGAACTTATCTCCTTTTTTATTTTTTTTTATACAACTTACAATGGCAACCAAGCTGACGGCCCACCTGATGGAAAATGGTAACCGTCGCCTATAGACATGAGCAGTACCATGGACATAACAGAGTATACTGTTTCGCCCATGATACCCCCCATGCGTTGCCATTCCTGAGGACTCGGGTGTTATTTCTCTGTACCCAGTAAATTCACGCCACATCCCACCCTTCAAACCGAAACACAGCCATGCAAACACAACTGCTTTACGGTTGAAACATACATACATAATATTTGATTTTTAGGAAGAACTTGTTTTCTATTTTGTAGAATATGATTGAAAATATTTTTTGTTTTATATAGTTTTATATTTTATGTATTTGTATAGCATTTTAAGTATTTCTTTTTATTTTATGTGTTTGCTTTTAATGAATTACTCAAGCTGTGCACATAATGTGATTGCATTATAACCTAGCCGAATCACAAATGTAATTATTACTTAAGTTTTTTACGGTTGTGATCTGTTTTATGTGGCAATAAAATAAAATAAAATAAAAAATAAATATGTATTTATTTATTTATTCATTAGTACAAATATGTGTACATAGCGAACTTAATGCTAAAAGCATTCTCTCCCAGTTTTATGTCAGAATACTCAAATGCAATAAAATAAAATAAAAAATACTAAGATTAATATAATGTAAATATATATAAATAAAAATAAAATACTTTAAAAAAAACCGTTCCCTATAGACATGTATAATAGAAATTAATAAGACAGGATAAAAACAATAAGATAGATTGATAGATAGATAATTTAAGTAAGGAACTTTCGTATAAAGTCGAAACACTTGTCGGAAAGTAAAGTAAGTTCTTAATTTCCCATTATCCAGTATTGTAAAATGATGATTATTATTTTAGCTGAAAAATTAGCAGCGGAAAATGGCGGCAACAGTCAAGCAAACGGCGCCACGCCGACGGGAGAGCTACGCGGAGAGCGATTCACTCTCACCCTCACCAAGAGTACTCAGGTAATCTAACGTAATACTATAACAAAATTTTGTTAAGATACAAATCTAAATTATGATTAAAAAAGTTTTTTTTTAATGGATGATAATAGAACGGTAATCCAGACCAGAGGAAGACTTTGTACAAAAGTCGATTGCTTGAGTCCTCTGTCCCATTCGTATTTCAACCGTGAAGCAGTTGTGTTTGCATGGCTGTGTTTCGGTTTGAAGGGTGGGATATGGCATGAATTTACTTGGTACAAAGGAATAACAACTGTGTCTTCAGGAATGGCAACGCAATTACTCAGAATGGTCCTATACTTAACAGCTATCTTGTTTGTGTTGGATAAAGCTTTATAAAATAATAAATAACAGAAAAAAGATATCGATCTTCAAATTTTATTAATAGACTAGCACTACAATAGAATGTCAATAATAAAAAAGAATAATTATTTTTACCATTGAGGTTGTTTACTCTAACAGTCTGTACAAAAAAAAACATCTCAGAGTACAGTCCTTTATCTAATTCCGACCCAAATTGAATATCTACAATCTACATTTTGCTATATTATATAATTGGACAAATTAATTAGGTAATTAAGATATATAGAATTTTCCTAAAAATAATACTGTATTTTTTATTCACAGGGTCTCGGTTTCACGTTAATTGGAGCAGAAGGTATACCCGAGACGGAAGGCTATCTTCAGATCCGCAGTATCGTTCCTCACAGTCCCGCCTGGATAGATGGTATGAATTATTATATTACAATAATAAAGCTACAGGTCTAGGTTTCTATGAGTGCACCCATTGATTCTTTGCATCAAATTTGAGGTCATTTCTTTATCTAATGAGAGGTCGTCCTATATTGTTGTTTGTGAGGTTACACTACCAGAGGAAGACTTTGTACAAAAGTCAATTGCTTGGGTACCTCTGTCCCATTCGTGTTTCTACCGTGAAGCAGCTGTGTTTGCATGGCTGTGTTTCGGTTTGAAGGGTGGGATATGGCGTGAATTTACTGGGTACAAAGGAATAACACTTGAGCCCTCAGGAATGGCAACGCATGGGGGTATTATGGGCGAAACAGTATACTCTGTTATGTGCATGGTACTGCTCATGTCTACAGGCGACGGTTACCACTTTCCATCAGGTGGACCGTCAGCTTGTTTGCCATTCTAAGTTGTATAAAAAAAAAAATCTTTCCTTGTCCTGCGTTTGCCTGTACAAGGTTGGCCCTATAGAATCTTTCTTATCTGTTAATAATTCTTCAATGTTCATTTTTTAATGGATGATAATGGAATGGTAATCCCGCCTATGCTAACTGTATGCGCTGGGGGGACACCAGTGAGGGATGATAGGTGAGAATGAAAAAAAGGCAGATCAGTTAGTCCATCGTGGTGAATACACCTCGAATTCAGCACGGTGATTTCATATTGCTAGCAAAGGTAGTCCGAATCATTAACAATCCCCTCCCCCTTTCAAATTTCATAAGGTAAGAAAACATACTAGACCCAAATGCCGACATATTTATTTTACACTTTCATCATGATAGCCTAAAGCGCCCCACAAAAAAGTCAAATCTAATTTTTTTGTGCACTCTATTTATAAATGTTCGTCACGCTATTAAACCAAATTATATATATATATATATATATATATATATATATATATATATATATATATATATATATATACCTAAAATATTACCCTGAACTCATTGGCAATCGGATATGGACAATATGTCTTGATTTAGTACTTTACATTATAATAATTATGTACAGCATCTTATTCCAGCTTTTACAAATGTATAACCGACTTGTTGTCCCCAGGCGCTCTCCGTCCCGGCGATGTGGTGGTGGGGGTCGGTTCGCGTGCGGTGCGAGGCCTCACTCAAGCTCAGGTAGCGCAGATGTTCCAGTCCATCGCACCCGGCACCGATGTCACGCTGCACCTCGTCCGGGGTGAGTCGCCTTATATTTAGTACTAGCTGCCTCGTCAGGGGTGAGTTCTCATCTCATTTTAATTCCAACTGTATCGTCGTCATCATATCAGCCTTTAACTGTCCACTGCTGAACATAATCCCCCCGTTGGGAGTTTTGCCAGTAGTTGTCACGCTTGGCAAGCGGATTGTCAACCGCAGTTAGGCTTTAGAGATATTTTAAGAGGGATGCTGCTGCCCATCTCTCGCCCTCCCTTAGTCACCTCTTACGGCACCCAAGGGAAAGGAAGGAGTGGCCCTTTGTGCCGAATCCACACGGCAAACTGTCTCAGGGATCATCAGGGATGAATTCTCATCTCATTTAATGCCAGTTGCGTCCGCAGGGATGAATTCTTACCTTGTTTTAATGCCAACTGCGTTATCAAGGATGAGTTTTTTATATTATTTTAGCACCATTTGCCTCATCAGAGTAACCTCTTATCTGATTAGTAATAGTTACTTCATCGCAGATATGAGCGTTTATCTTATGTTAGTACTAAATCTCTTAAACATGTCCAAACAGGTAATCGTTAAATTTTTTTTTAATCTAATCTAGCAGACGTACAAATCTTCCTATTTAAAAAAAAAGAAACTTTATCAGTCTTATGAACATTAAAAAAAATTTACAAATTGGTCCTACCCTATTCAAATGAGTCACTAATCCATGATCATTTATATAGACTAGTAAGTGATAATAAAAAACCATCTGGTCCTTAATATAACAATGTAGGGGGAAAGGGATTGTTAGTAATGAAGACTGAGAATCCCATTACTAGCAATATACCCAACCAGGTCGACCTCGTCGCGGTTCTCCCTGGAAACTATCATGGTTAATTCCTGATGAATTCATCATGACGGGCTAACTGGCCTGTTTTCATTCTCATCTATCACCCTTCACTGGTGCTCCGCCAGCGTATCCCGTTAGCGCAGGCGAAGTTACCATACCATTTACACCCATAAAAAAAAAACAATGTTTTGTCACATAAGTGACGTCATCTGAATATATCATGAAGGTATCTAGCCTTGTTTATAAAACACTTCTATATAGGTGTGTTATGTGAGGTACTATGCTTCGTAGTCTGTGAGTCACGGCTAACAATGAACTCTTCAACTCTGATTACGTACGTCAAGTATACGTAACATATTTACTTTCATACTCCAATGAAAACATGAAAATTTTTCACATCATAAGTCTCGTATAGGTAATTAGGTGCTGATATGGAACGCTTGGTATATGTAATCGGCGATTAATTTATTAAACAAATCGCTAACCCGAATCAGGAGTTTTACTAGATAAATAAGTATTAAAACAGGGCTTTTAAAAACGAAATTATAAGAAAAGGCCCGTTACAGTGGTTACAAATACGTTGATGGGACATCAGTGAGAGGTGATAGGTGAGAATGAAGTCAGTCCAATTGATCCTGACGATGGATTCCCCAGGAATTAACCACGATAGTTTCCAAGAGGTACCGCGTGGAAGTCAAACTGTTGGATTGCTCTTAAAATAAATTCCACTGAATCTATATTGAAATTGAGGCGTTTCGTACTCTCGAATAGCAATACTAGCGACATAATAGTTCCGTATTGTTCTGATGGTTGCATATTGGTGTAACTTGCTAATGCAAACTATTGTAAATCGACCGCAATTATATTAATTCCTAACTGTTGTTTCATGAGTACAGTATAAAATTGTAACATAAATAAAAAATCGTCTAAAAAAAATTAAATTTAATTGACAAATTCCTGCAGTATAGTAATAACTTTTTATAATTTTATATTTTTTAAGGCTATTTTAAACTTTTAGAATTTTTAAATTTTTTTTATGTAAAGAAAAATTCTATTGTAAAATTTAATTTACATTTATACTTCCATCCAGCGTGCTCAATCTCATGAATCTAAATGTAAGCAACTAGTCCGTGACACTTAATATTTCATACATAAAATTGAAAGTTGTATGGAGCGGAAATCGTTCGGCAGCCCATATGGGAGTCCGCCTCGCCTCATAATTCTGCCGTAATAGTATATAACGGATCATTACGGCGCGGTAATTTATTACCGCCAGACATTGCGTCAGATTTTATGTAATCTTACTTAGAAATACTATGTAGTACTGTTTACCTATGTTCTCTTTTCACCTTCCTCATTCATTCTCTTCTATTTTATATATTTTAAGTATGTATATATTATTGTAAGTATATGGGAATATTGTAAATATGTAGGAGATGGGCAGCAGCGTCCCTCTTAAAACATCTCTAAAGCCTGGCTACGGTTGCCAATCCGCCTACCAAACGTGGCAACTACTGGCAAAAAACCCCAAGGGAGGGTTTATGTTCAGTGGACAGTTAAAGGCTGATGTGATGATGATGATGATGAATTAGTGTTTAAATTAAATATTTTGCCACATTTTAGTAAGCCTTTTTATAAAGGCACAATAATATTTTAACAGAAAGAGATCGTACCAAGAACGAGCTGTAATCGACATTATAAGATGAATAATGGTATTAAGATGAAAAATGATGATAGGTATAGCCTATAATAAATTATTTCTGATCATTTTACTGTATTTTTGAAATATCAGGACGGTTACTAAGTACGGTGTTGTTACAAAAAAAATGTATTCGAATAAAAATTGTGTCCCATAAATAAAACCGACTTCAATTGCCAAAAAACTAGACCGATTTTGATGAAATTTCTATAATACCAATCTTTAGGATTTAAGATAAAGAAAGAATTTTCCAAGTCGGTTTTATTACAGAATGTAACTTTATAAGCATAATAAATTATTTGCAGGTTACCCTCTGTCGTTCGACTCTGAGGACCCAAACACCCGTGTGCTGAGCACCCGCGCCGTGGACGCCAACACGCCGCCCACGTCGGACGCTGTCGCCATGCAGCAGCTGACCAGGGCACTTCGAACCAGGTATCATTATTATCATCATTATTCTATTCCTTCTTTGTACACAAACTCTGAAAATCGATTTTTTTTATACAACTTAGAATGGCAAACAAGCCGACGGCCCACCTGATGGAAAGTAGTAACCGTCGCCTATAGACATGAGCAGTACCATGGACATAACAGAGTATACTGTTTCGCCCATGATACCCCCCATGTGTTGCCATTTCTGAGTACTAGACAATTGATAGATATCTCTAATTATATTTTTAAATTGTTGTAATGATATATAAGTAATTTGTCATCATCATGATCATCTTAGCCATTAACGTCCACTGCTGAACATAGGGGTCCCCCATAGACTGCCATAAAGGACGGGAAGGAATGTGTAATAGGCCAGAATTACCCCTTCCCTCTCCTAATAATGTTTTATTTAGGTCAGTCTTGATAAAATTCTATATAATATAGATTTTTTTTTAATTTAAACTAATAACAATATAACTGGTTATTTTATTCTACCATCCAATTCGGAACCAAAAATCTTTTCTATCTCTCCCTGTCTCTAGACCGATGAATTTCAAAACTTTTTATTTTTGTTTAGAAACTTAAAACTTGAAGAAATAAAATATTTTTTTATTGTCATAACTTCTATCTTTCCATCAGACTTCATTAGCATAACATTAATGACAATTTTACGTAATCCTAATTTAAACTGCGCAGATTCAACCTGGACTCGCCCAACCACGTGGAAGCCAACCCCGGCGAAGACGAGCCGGACTGCGGACAAGTGGGTCAGAGTGGACAGGGCGGGCAGGCGCAGCGGCGGCTGATGTCGCGCTCGTTCGACCTGGATGAACTGGCCACCACCGACCCTGGAACTGCTCCCCCAGGTGCTCCTCCGCTGACCACCTGCTGTCCATAGCTAATGGTATGGATACCCTTATTTTTTTTTTAATTCTACATTCTACAGTAATGTATTAAATTTTTAAATATTACTGTAAAAGCCAGTACATTCATATGTGTCTGATGTGAATATAGAATAGATTTTAGACATAATATTTAGACATAATTAGGTTTTTGTGCTCGTATTTGTTATTAGAAAAGTAGATTAAATTTGGTTTGGTGTGAACTAAAAATGTTGGTAAATCCTAAGATTTACTAGTTAAAATTTACTAAGGTATATATAATTTTACATCTAAACATAATCTAGGGGTTTACCATGAAATAAAATTCCGAATTTTCGGGCTCAATTTCGTGTTTTTGTTCGTACCAAAATCGACCCTACAAATGTTGCTTAACATTTCATTTGTCACAAATCCTACCATAAAAGTAAAAAGGAACGATACTTTAGCATTTTTAATATTTTTTAACGGTACGTATCATGTAATTTTAACATCAAATTTGTGTTTCGTTCGGATCCGAAATTTCGGAAAACATTTCATGGTAGGCCCTCTGTACTAATTTAAGGCAAATGTGAATAGACTATCTGTGGGCCCACGAGCCCATCTTAGACCACATCATCGCTTTCAATCAGATAAGATGGTGATCAATCGTAGACTACTTTCAATAATACAAAAATAAAAAATAAAATGTGTCACCACAGAGCACGGCTCCCATAACGGTGTGGCGGCGGCGGCGGCGGCGGCGGCGGCGGCGGGCTCGGCGGCGGACGGCGCGGCGCCGGCGCAGGGCGCGGGCCGCGAGCTGCGCGTGCGGCTGCGGCGCGGCGCCGCCGGCTTCGGCTTCACCATCGCCGACAGCGTGCACGGACAGAAGGTCAAGAAGGTCGGTTTGACAACATTAGTGTTTTTCTCTATTATAGCAAAGCAATAAACTTAGTTGTGACCATTTTGTTATTATAGCACACGCACAGACAGAAAAAATATATTACTTCTTATATATATTTTCCATTTTTTTGTATAGGTATATTTTTCTCTTTTTTTTTTGTGTATGTCTCTCTATGTTTGTTGTTATTTATATGCTGAAAGTAATACAAATAAATTAAATAATAAAACAAATGTTTATTTGATTTCTATGCAACCGATTCATTAAATCTGAAAATGTTACACTATAAGGTACTAAAGTGTCATGATACCTATCGATATTTTGCATAGAAACATCTTTATATATAGTTGTAAGTGCAACAATGAACATTCGTTTATTTTATTTTTTGTATCGATACTTCTAGATAGTTGCATAGATTCATTTTCCAGTTTTGTTAACATAACAGCAGTGCCCACTTTTAAATAACGTTTATGATGACTTACTTAGTAATTATTTATCTTTATTTTTCTTTTTTTTTTTTCCAAGTAAGCCGTATACATTTTATTTATATAAACGAATAAAGAACTATATAAATAATAATAAAACATATTCACGTGACAGGTATTAGATCGCAGTCGCTGTGCGGGATTGCGAGAAGGAGATCTTCTATTACAGATCGGTGACACTGATGTCAGGCACTCACCGCACCAGCATGTAGTACAGGTGGGTTTCATCATCTTGCCGCTGGTGCATCATTTGCTTGATGCTACTGTCGATTATAATCTTGTTGTTGTCTACTATCTGTTTACTACCCTGTTTACAATCTGATGTTCAGCTTGCGTAATAATAATATTAGCAAAGTCTGCAATATTATTAGTATCTCATTGAAAGGCAAATGGACATATTTTATTATTTGATTTTATTAATTATATCCGGCTCGAAGGACCATAAAATGTAGATATAATTTGTGCATTAATTTTTGATATGATTTTTTTTTTTGTTGATGTTACTTATTTTTATCTATTTATTTATCGTCATATATACAAGTGACAAGTTGTACATATAATATATAATACAATTAAAAAATAGCAAATATTCACGTATTTCTTATAATTTTCATTTAAATTCTTAACTTAGATTAAATTTTTTTGTTTTATCAATTCTTGTGCAAAATATTTTTGATGTTTTATAATATAGCATTTATAGAGATAAATATTTAAAAAGAAAAATGTGTGATTTTGTAGTTATATTTTTTGTTATTTATGTCAAACACATGTACAACATGCTTAATCCAAATCAATTACATCTATTTAAAACTAATTCCATATCAAAATATAAAAGTAATTAGAACTTGTTTCGTTCATACTCCCACAAAATTATCTTACATACTTGCTTAGATTATATAAATAGTGTCTCCATACAAATGTTTCGAGAAGAGCGGGTCAACTTTTTCATACATTTTTGCGTGAAAATTGTTATGAGTGATTCCTTTATAACTTCTATATTTATTTTGTCTTATAATTTCTGCACCTTTTTAATAGGCAAAAATTCATTTTATTTATTAAATTATTAAATATAGATACATCAAGATACATTGTGTGCGTAAGTATATAGAACATTAATAAAAAAAACAATTCAAATAATTTGAGAATTAGCTGACAAAAAGTTGTCTCGTTCATGAGGCTCGATACTCTACCTGTATAATCTAAGCAAACATGTTATTATGTTTACTTCCCCTGTTGTACGTTCCCAATGCAGGAGTGTGGGGAAAGGGATTGTTAGCAATGGAGTTTGACAGCCCCATTGCTAACAATATGCCCTATTAGGTCGACCTCCACGTGGTTCCCCCTGGAAACCATTGTGAAAAATTCTTGTTTAATTCGTCACGATGGGCTAACTGACCTGTTTCATCCTCACCTATCATCCTTCACTGGTGCCCCGCCGGTGTATACCGATAGCGCGGGTAGGGTGACCATTCCATTATCATCCATTAAAAAAAACCTAACCTACTGTTAATATGGTTATGTCAATGTCAATATATCATTGTCATACGTCCACAAAACACAGACTTTTTTATTTATGGGGAATCATGGAAAAATATCGAACTTGATATCCGGGAAAAAATATCGATTATTGATTATGGATCGTTGCAGGTGCTGAAGGAGTGTCCGTCGCTGCAGGAGACCACGCTGCGCGTGTGGCGCCGCGCCGCGCGCCCGTTCCGCGCGCGGATAGATACCGATTACAATAGTAAACTTATTATAAATATAAATAATTACAAGAAATAATCACAGTGAGAAAACAATGGGCGACCTTGTCGCTAAGAGCGATCTCTTTCAGGCAACCTTTGAATAGAGAGGAGTAATTATAAACAATTTAGTAGGAGGCACGATAAAAAATTTTGTTAGTTCTAGATACGGGAGATGTAATACATATAATAATATAAAAATTATCCCTACTCATTATTATATATATATATATATATATATATATATATATATATATATACAAATACATACATACATATACACATATACATACATGCATATAACGCCTACACAAATACATAAAAATATATAAATACTGTTCACGAAAAATATGCAAGAAATAAGTATGCTAACCAGACATATAAATATATTAAGGAGATGACAACTTGCTCAATTAAAAGTAACCAGACATTTTATATTTCGTATGGAAACTGATAAGATTTTATTTTATATTATATTATATTAGAGGGAAACTTTGTACAAAAGTCGATTGCTTGGCTACCTCTGTCCCATTCGTGTTTCAACCGTGAAGCAGTTGTGTTTCAGTTTGAAAGGTGGGATATGGCGTGAATTTACTGGGTACAGAGGAATAACACCCGAGTCCTCAGGAATGGCAACGCATGGGGGGTATCATGGGCGAAACTGTATACTCTGTTATGTCCATGGTACTGCTCACGTCTATAGGCGACGATTGCCACTTTCCATCAGGTGGGCCATCAGCTTGTTTGCCATTCTAAGTTGTATAAAAAAAACCACTACGCACTATAATGTTGACGGTATTTACAGCGCCAGCAAATAATAACAGCCAATTGGGTAGAAGCAAGACGCCAACCGCCGAGCAACTGAGGTCGCCGGGACTACAACAGGACAACATGCGCGATATAATGAACGGCATGAACTCGGGTATGTACCGATGATATTTCATTCATTCATATCAACCGTTAACCGTCTACTGTTAAACATAGGCCTCCTTCATAATTTGCCAGTAGTTGCCACGCTTAGCAGGCGAGTTGGCAACCGAAATTAGACTTTTGGTGATGACGAGGGACGCTGCTGCCTTCCTATACCTCGTCCTTCCTTAGTCGCCTCTTACGACACCTACGGATAAGAGAATATTTCATGATGGGTTTAGACATTGTACAGTGTCTTAAAAAGTTTGGGAAATTACAAGTATTAACTGATTAAACTTTTTTTTTTTTTAATTTTTACGGTACTGTTTTTATTTTAATTACAGTAGAAGCAACATATGCAGTTCCGGAACACAAAGGTCGTGAACGAGAGAGCCTTATAGACCGGCGGCGACGCAGCAGCACCCCCGGGGGCCGATTGACCCTCCCCGTAGTCACCCCGTGGACTGAATCCCAAAACGACAACCAGTGGTGCCAACCCGAGCGAGAGACATGGGTCGACAACTCGAACAACATACGAACATGGGCCGAGAGCGCGCAGACTTGGGACGAGAACGGACAGAAGTGGGATGAGGTGACGAACGGGGTGGGGTGGGACGGGAACCCGGAGAGGTGGAACGGGAACTGGGGAGAAGTGCCCACGCCGACCGTGCACGTCGATCTGAACGCAGCCTACTGTAGGAGTAACGCGAGTGTTGCTGACAGCAGTGATAATGGTGGTAAGATGTTTTAAAAATAATATAAAAAAAAAACTAGATAACACGCTATCTTTTTTATACCACGAAGGTGACAAATAAGCATACAACCCGTCTGATAATCAACGGTCACTGTAGCCTATGGACAGATCGGAAGGTGAAATGTGTTTTTTTTAATGGGTGATAATGGAATGGTAATCCCGCCTGCGCTATCAGTCTACACTGGTGGGACACCAGTAAGGGATGACAGATGAGAATGAAACAGGCCTGTTGGCCCTTAGTGATGAATTCAGAAAAAAATAATCAAGTTACTTTTCGGGTTCGACCTTTACGTGGTTCCCAATAAGGTCAACCTAAGTTTTTATTCAATATACATAAAATATTTCAAATACCCATAGTACCCCATCATTTATTACCATTCCGGAATTCTAATGAGTTGTGCCCCTATAATCAGTAATTTCTCTACCGTATCTCAAATTAAGTGATTTCTGGATACTAAAGAATATCTGTGTTCTATATCCCATCCTAATTAAATTAATATGTATGCAGGATTCCCTGAAGAAGGCCTGCAGTTACCCACGACGGCGGCGTTGGGCGGCAGCTCGCCCTCCACCCGCCGTCACCAGCCCGCCGATGCACACAATTCATCAGGTCAGTAACGGTTACATACATATAAAACTTTAGCGTGTTTTACCACAATAACACCTAATCAAGTCTAAGTTACACGCATACTCAAATACCAAATTATATGTCAGTAAAGAACATTAACGACTTATTACCGTTAGATACAAAAATAAATAAGTCTACAAAAATAACACTTGTTATTACAATCCTGTGGTAAGGATGTGTCGTCATTACAACGACTTACTGCTCGACCACAAATCCATCGACATATTCGGTACAAAAGATTTGCTCTTTAGGAAGAACTTGTTTTCTATTTTGTAGAATATATTGGAAAATATGTTTTTTTTTTATATAGTTTTATCTTTTATATATTTATATACCATTTTAAGTATTTCTTTTTATGTGTTTGCTTTTAATGAATTACTCAAGCTGTGCACATAATGTGATTGGATTATAACCTAGCCGAATCACAAATGTAATTATTACTTAAGTTTTTTACGGTTGTGATCTGTTTTATGTGGCAATAAAATAAAATAAAATAAATAAAAAAACAATACGATCTCTCACCTGTGATATGGTAACGTAACTAATGACAGATTCCAAACACATATCAGGATTTACTCGTATTTGTTTATTTATTACAAAAATCCACAGTCGTAAAAAACAACTTATATGCTAAGTCTCTTATAAATACAGTCAGAGGGAGACTTTGTACAATAGTCGTTTGCTTGGCTACCTCTGTCCCATTCGTGTTTCTACCGTGAAGTAGTTGTGTTTGCATGGCTATGTTTCGGTTTGTGAATTTACTGGGTACAGAAGAATAACGCCTGAGTCCTCAGGAATGGCAACGCATGGGGGGTATCATGGGCGAAACAGTATACTCTGTTTATGAATTTAATTAAAAAACTAAACACAGTTATGGCCCATAATAGACCATAATAATCGAGGTAACAAAATCGTTTATACATATAGGACATTTTTGGTTGCTTGAGCGCATTAATATTTTTTAACATTTTTCTTTTTTAATTTTTTTTTATCTTTTATCACCTTTTTAACCTTGTCAATTCTGTCTGTGTGTAACCAGGTCACTTGAGGAGTCACTCCCCATCAAACAACAGCGCGACCACCGACCAGTTGCTAGCTAATTCGCCGTCCGCCCGGCTCCACAGCCAATCTCCCTCGAACAACTCGTCCAACGGCAGGGTCAAGGGATCACCACTAAGGTATTATAGATAGATACTCTTTATTGTTTCCTCCGAAACATTACTGTCCACTGCTGAACGTAGCCCTCTCTGATAAGCTACTATAAAGAACGGTCCCACGCCACCTGCATACACTAACTTATTGCAATGTGTTTGATATCATTGTACCATCTAGTGAAAGTTATTATAGATATCACACAATTACAAGTAATGTTTACACTGGGATAACAATAAACGGCCTTATTGCTAAAAGCGATGCCTTTAACTCAATAGAAACCTCGATGGAAGAGACCTATTAACTTCGACAGGTTAAACAATAAAAGGTTTATTAACAATTAGAAATTGTGTCCCAAAAAAAACTGATTTTAATTGTGACAAGACTTATTATTTCGATCTAAAATGTAAACTACTTAACCGATTTTGATAAAACTTCCGTGAGACCAATCTGTAAGTATATCTTTTCAGATAAAAAAAGAATTTTCCAAATCGGTTCAGGACTGACAGAGTTATGAGGTAACAAACATAAAAAAGTACAATAGAATCTCCTTCTATTCATATAAGATTCAGGAATTAGTATTACAGTATCCGCTGACATTGATGCTCCTTTCCACTTTGGGTGTTGCTGGAAGAAAACTCTATCAGAGTTAAGCTCGCCTTTGTACTTTTGTTTACCTCTGTCTTATTCTTATAACTAGTGTGTACAATAAAGAATTAATAAAAATAAATAAATAAATAAAAATATTTATTTTTGTTTATTTATTTATTACACTCTATATGATATTAAACGCTATTTTACTTTCTGATTTTCCTTCAGCTGCTTCTACTTGATATTTTCTTGTATGTCGTAAGTTACTGATATAGTTTAATTATAATGTAAACGTGCTATAATCATAGTGTATATATTTTTTTTTTTATTGTAATTTGTCTGCTGTAAGTAATGTAAATAAATTTTCTATCTATCTATCTATCTATCTATTATAGCTGAGTATCAGCAGCGCCTTTGCCTGTTATTTGCTATAAATTCTTGTCTATAATAAAATATATGTGTAAATCTTTTTGCTCGTGTATTACAGTATATTTTATGTTAATGTCTAAACCATTTGCTAATTCAGAACCAGAGTTCGAAAAATTCCGATTTTTATAATAAATATAAAAAATCAGATATACATATGTCCCGGCTAAGAAAAAGAAGCGAATTTCATTCTATAAGGGGATTACACGCTTAAAAATGTGAAAGGAATTTGTAAAATAAAATAAGTATCAAATTATTACTACATTTATTATTTAAAAAAAAAAAAAACTTTTAGCAATTAACAAAAAAATTACTTAGTGTTTGTTTGAGAAATATTTTATTCATGAACAATTAAAAAAAACAAGTACCTATTGTTATATAATAATAATATTATTATTTTTATGAGGTTGCCATTTTGGGAAACAATCTAAATTATTCTAAATTGTAGTTTTTCGCTACGTGTTGCCAGGGTAAACATTAATCTCCAAAATTTTTAGTTCAGAAGACAGGAAAAAATCAATTGATATTTATCAAGATAAAAATAAATTTATATATATCCGCTGATATATATCGGCGAACCCTGTTCAGAACGTTATCATTTTTTATATCGACGATGTCGTTGTAACGTTATTATCGAAAATTATAAGTCTCCATTCCAGCGACATTCAGTATTTCGTGTCCAATTTTGTTTAGTGACCAACCACTTTAACATTGTATATGTAACACGTAAATACAACAACAGTATTTTTATATATTATTGGCAATACCAGGTTGCGATCAGCGTCCCCGTCGCGGCGGATGCACTCGCCGGCTTGCTACGAGGCGGAATCGCTGCCGCATCCCGCGCCGCTATACGTCGCCAACTACCCGCAGGTCGGTACTGTGCTGTGTTCGACATTATTTCACGTCTATTGTCGACATAAAAAAATGAACTAGACGAATATGTTTCATTGTGTATTGAATGCGTGACTAAAATGTAACCCCCCCCCCCCCCACCTCCCCGCCCTACACACCCAATTTTTGCCCCGATAAAGTTTACTTGACGACTCTAATCGCCAAGTTGATATTTTGGTAATAAAATTATACCTAATAAATATTTACAGCATTTTTTTTTTATTTACTTTTTTTTTGTTAAATTTGGTACCGATATCTACTCGTAGCAAGAGGGTTAAAAACGCTTCGAGTCTATTTTTTAACCCACCCCCCCCCCCCCTCTCCTTTAACAATCAAATTGCCCCCTCCTCCCTGTGGGGCGTGGACCCCACGTTGGGAAACACCGCATTATAAGATTATTTGTTTTATATGTGGCAGGTGGTGGGCGGCGGCGCGGACCCGCAGGCGGACGTGGTGGTGCGGCTGGCGCGCGGCGCCGCCGGCTTCGGGTTCCGCATCGTCGGCGGCACCGAGGACGGCTCGCGGGTCGCCGTCGGCTACGTGGTGCCGGGTACGTGTATGCCCACATTTCCTATATCATATAAAATTCTAATCGTCATCATATCAGCCTTTTTAACCGTTCACTGCTGAACATAAGCCTCCCCCCCCCCCTGGGGGGTTTTGCCAGTAGTTGCCATGCTTAGCAGGCGGATTGGCAACCGCAGTCAGGGTTCTCTCGCCTCGCACTCCCTTAGTCGTTTTTTATAACACCCACGGAAAAAAAAAGCGGTGGCCTATTCTATGCCAGAACACATACGGCTAACTTACATTAATATAAATTGTATAGCACTCAGCATTTCATACATCAAATCCATCTGTCTGACATCTTTACATCTCGACTACCAGAGGGAGACTTTGTACAAAAGTCGATTGCTTGGATACCTCTGTCCCATTCGTGTTACAACCGTGAAGCAGTTATGTTTGCATGGCTGTGTTTCGGTTTGAAGGGTGGGATATGGCGTGAATTTACTGGGTACAGAGGAATAACACCTGAGTCCTCAGGAATGGCAACGCATGGGGGTATCATGGACGAAACAGTATACTCTGTTATGTCCATGGTACTGCTCATGTCTATAGGCGACGGTTACCACTTTCCATCAGGTGGGCCGTCAGCTTGTTTGCCATTCTAAGTTGTATAAAAAAAAAAAACCCGGCGGCAAATGAGCAAGAAACCAAAATATAGAAATTAATATTTCATGTATATTTTTATATGTCAGCTGACTACTTAATGTATCTCTATTTTAAACTACGCTCCCCTAATAACCACATTGCGTCCCAACTAACACAGTGCATCCGTCAGAAAAGTCATCCCATCACCCGTATCCAATAGCGAGGACGGGGGGAAGGGATTGTTAGCAATGGAGTTTGACAGCCCCATTGCCAGGTCAACCTCCACGTGGTTCCCCCTGGAAACCATCTTGAACAATTCTCGTTGAATTCGTCGCGATGGGCTAACTGACTTGTTTCATCCTCGTCTATCATCCTTCACTGGTGCCCTATCAGCGTATACCGGTAGCGCGGGTGGGGTTACTATTTCATTATCACCTATAAAAAAAATTGCGAAGACGGGATGCCTAACACCCAAAAAAATTTATCACTATAGCTAAATCACATTTCTAAATTGCACGATAGAAGCTTACATGCCTATGGCAAAACCGATGTACATACAAGCGACGTGTTTAAATTACATAAATTGTTCATTTATGCCTAGTGTAAATATTTTTTTATACAACTTAGAATGGCAAACAAGCTGACGGCCTACCTGATGGAAAGTGCTAACCGTCACCTATAGACATGGTTGCCCCGCCAGTGTATACTGTTAGTGCAGGCGGGGTTACCATTTCATTATCACCTATTAAAAAAAAAAAAAAACATATAGACATGAGCAACACCATGGACATAACAGTAAATCCCAGTACAACTCTGATACTGCTCTGATGTAATCCTTTTGATTTCTTCTATAATACTCTTAATTTCAGGAGGTCCAGCAGCAGGATTATTACGAGCGGGTGATTTGCTGACGTCAGTGGACGGACGGCCGCTAGGAGGCGCTTCACACGCTCGCGCGGTTGCACTCGTCGCCCGCGCCGCCGCTCGTGGACACGTGCGTACACCATGCTTACATACATACGAATACATACAGTTAGCGGGTCTGTGACTTTGCTCGCGGAAACTGCGATAAACTCATATAATTTAATTTATGTAAATATTATTAAGTCGTAATCCGGCACAGCTTCATACGGGTAGATGGAATATTCGGGGGGAAAGGGATTGTTAATAATGGAGACTGAGAATCCCATTGCTAGCAATATACCCAACCAGGTCGACCTCCTCGCGGTTCTCCCTGGAAACTATCATGATATAATTCTTGATTAATTCATCATGATGGGCTAACTGGCCTGTTTTCATTCTCATCTATCACCCTTCACTGGTGCTCCGCCAGCGTATCCCGTTAGCGCAGGCATTCCATTTTCACCCATCAAAAAAAGATGGAATATTCGAAGATAATATATAAATTGCATATTGAGGTTTCTTAAGAGTCGACAGTGTCTTTATGCCTTCCTTAGTATTACGGGCGTTCATAGGCTACGGTAATTCCATTTTTTTTATACAACTTAAAATGGCAAACAAGCTGACGGCCCACCTGATGTAAAATGGTAACCGTCGCCTAAAGACATGAGCAGTACCACGGACATAACAGAGTATACTGTTTCGCCCATGATACCCCCATGCGTTGCCATTCCTGAGGACTCAGGTGTTATTCCTCTGTACCCAGTAAATTCACGCCATATCCCACCCTTCAAACCGAAACACAGCCATGCAAACACAACTGCTACACGGTTGAAACACATATGGAACAGAGGTACCCAAGCAATCGACTTTTATACAAAGTCTCCTTCTGGTAAAATTTGCAATCAGACAGGTCGTATGCTTGGTTGTCACCGTAGTAGTAAAAACCATAAAGACCTATGTTGCTCTATATATAGCTTTCTAGTAATATAGCTTTCTATAGATAAAAGAATTTGAAGATTTGAAGTGATATTTTGCCAAAATTTTGGTACTTAACTTTTTACTATTCTTAAGTTTTTATTTTTGTGAAGTGTATTTTAATATAACTTGCAACAAATAAAAAAAAATTTAAATCGGTTGAGTAGTTTTTATGAATATTAAATACAAACAAGCAATCAAATCTTTCTTTTTTATAATATTAGTATAGATAAATAAATATTATAAATCAATTTATTTCAATTGTTTAATTATCGCACAGGTAACACTAGGCGTGAGACACAACCGCGCCGACATACAACCTATGGGCCTGCCCACTGTGATGGCGCCACAGTCGCATCAACCTCTGCTTACGTAAGTTAACTTTTTTTTTAATCAACTAAAATGTCAGACAAGCAGACGGCCCACCTGATGGAAAGGTAAACAACGCCTATAGACATGAACAGTACCATGAACATAACAGAGTATACTGTTTCACCCATAATCGCCCTTATGCATTACCATTCCTGGGTACTAAGGTGTTAACCTCTGTACCCTGTCAACTACAAAACAGTAGACAAATTATATCTTGTAGTTATCGTTTTAAAATCTTTGTTACTTATGTTTCACAAATAAATATTGAATTCTAATATCCATTGAATATTTTAAAATATAGAAATAAATATGCGGCAATACTTATACTCGAATTTGAAACTTGTCCTAATATGTTTTTTTATGTATAATAACAATTGAAGGGCGGACCCAACGATGCATCAGATGACGCAAACTGCATACAATATACTGCACCCTGCACCGATGTACCCACCATCACATGGACCTATGTAAGTTTAAGATCTACCCTTAAAGAAAAAATTTCAATTTTTTATGGGTAAAAACGAAACTGTAACCTCGCAGACACTATTAGTATATATACACTGGAGAGGCGCCAGTGAGAGATAGTAGATGAGAATGAAACCAGGTCAGTTAGCCCATCTCAACGAAATCAACGAGAATTAACCACGATGGTTTCCAAGTGGAACCACGATGTTGACCTAATGGTGTATATTGCTAGCAATGGACCTCTTAGTAGGGGTGGGTAATATATAACAATAGGGGGAAGGGATTGTTAGTAATAGAGTTTGACAGCCCCATTGCTAGCAATATGCCTTATCAAGTCAATCTCCACGTGGTTCCCCCTGGAAACGATCGTGAACAATTTTCGTTTAATTCGTCACGATGAGCCTGCTCCATCCTCAACTTCTCATCTCTCAACTCCATCATCCTTCACTGGTGCCCCGCCGGTGTATACCGATAGCACGGGTGGGGTTACTATTTCATTATCACCTATAAATATATATATATATATATATATATATATATATATATATATATATATATATATATATATATAACAATACCTATATATTTTAGTTACAATATCGAATAACGAAAATATTAAAAGTCTGTTGTCCAAAAAATAATATTAGATAACAGACTGTCAACATATTCGAAAATAGATATCCGATTAATATAATATCAAATTAGGTAAACCTTTTTTCGCCATAATTGTACACAAGAACCCAATATATAGATACCGGATCGGATTTTAGCTTTTGAAGTGTTTTCTTTTACCAATTTTTTTTTTATTTGAGTAAATGTGACAAAATACTGCTATAATTAAAATAACTTTATAGATTTTAAGTTTTATGAACTCCTCAAATCAGGTGGATTTTTGCAATACATTAATTACTAGTACCGCATTCGAGTATTCTGACACTTGCCTATGGTTGACTGGGAGATAATGCTTTTAGCATTAAGTCCGCCATGTACACATATTTGTACTAATGAATAAATAAATAAAAAAAAATACAATAACTATTTTTACTCATATTATACATTATATATTTTGTATATAAATTAATAAACTTCTTTTAGTAAATATATAAGTTTCTCGCCAAAAAATTATATGAAATGCAGGCATGTGTATGGATGTAGGTACGGAGTGCAGTATGAGAGCGCGGCCGGCGGATGGGCGGGCGTGCCGTATGACGTCACAGTCACCAGGAGCGAGGGCGAGGGCTTCGGGTTCGTGGTCATCTCGTCCACCAACAAGGCGACCAGCACTATCGGTGAGTCACGCTGGGGTCGAGTCTGTGGTGTTATTCTTTAAAATTGAAATTACTATTTGATATTACAGTGAAATGATTATTTTAAGGACCAATAAGAAGTAAATTTCTAAGAGATAAATGTCCAATAAATAAATTTTATTATGTTTATATATATTGTAATTGCTAAAGGAGCGATGAGTTTATAATGGTTCATAAAACAGTAATTTGACGAAAGCAATTCAAAACATTAGGTTAAGAGGTAAGTTTAATTAATGCCGCCTTAGAATCGACCCCACTGTGTCAAGTACACAACTTGGAGACTTTTCAGAGATATCAACATTTGAGTCGATGTATGCAGACCATTCCTTATGACAGTATATATAAAGATCTATCTATCTGAGTATTGACTTAATGACTACTGATGATGATGATGATGATAAAAATTAGACAAATAACTTATACACTATGGTTTGCTAACAGTGAAGCAAAGCATTTGCAGCTGACATACAATGTTTTTATATTAAAACGGAGTCATTGTAATCATTATCTATTTAATATTTATAAACTTGTATTGAATAAATTGTATTAAATAGAAATAATAAATAGAAATAGTGAAATACATAGTTTTACCAATCATATATACACATACACAGTACAAGGAAAAGTTAAAAAACTTCCTGATATTCTATGGTAAATAGAAACTTATACATGTCTTACTTACTTACTTATTCTGTCCAAAGTATTAATATTTAACAGTTATCGCAGTGCATGAGTGCTTACAAACACAAGTAAGCATTCTATGCAAGCTATGTTGCTTGGCAGCATAACTTGATACGTTTGTAATAATTTTTTTTTTACACTTATACACATTTTCAACCTCTGTTTCAGTCTATGCATAAAACATTCAGACATACTGTCCCACATTTATATGTATACTAACCTTGCCTGCGACTTTGTCCGTCTGATAGGGATATGCTCAGTGACCAGAATAAAAAGTAGCCTGCTTTTTCTTAATCTCATATCTATCTATCCTATTTAAGAGCTGCGCTCTTGTCAGTGGAACTCTTGCCACTCACTACGATTTTCAGCGAGTCTCTTCACCTCTTGATACCACACGACACCAACTACTTCCTTGATCTGCCTGATGTAACTATGTCTCGGTCTCCCTCTTACCCTCCTTCCTTCTATCTTACCTTCTATTATAATGTTCATTAGTTCGTCGTGTCGTATCAAATGTCCCAACATTTCTTCCTTTTTTTCCATCTCATATAGTTTACTAAATTTCATATTGGTTAGTGGAGTCTTATTATTTTTTTTTTTTGTACAGGCCAACTAATCCCCAACTCGCCTGCCTCTCGGTGTGGGCTCCTACACGTCGGAGACACGATCGTGGCCATCAACCGGATACCGATCCGTAACCTGCCGCACCCTGAAGTCGTAGCGCTCATCAAACACTCGGGGACAACAGTCACCCTGACCGTCCTACCGCCAGACGGTCGCGTCGACTGAATACGAGTGATGAGTGAAAATAATAGTGATGAAGTGATGTGAATTTTTAAGCTATTAGTCTGTGCTGTAAGTGGTAAGCTGTAAATCTGTGCTATAAAAAGTGAGCTATCAATTTGTGCTGTATGAGCGAGCTGTAAGTGCTGGAGCTTCAATATCAAGTGAGGTGTCATCAAGCTATCATCATGCTGACTGAATACTGATGTCGTCAATGGAACAACTACAATTAAATGGGTGATCATGTGAAGATAATTAAGCTGTATATTAATTGCTCTAGCTTGAATTTTAATTGGTGAGTCATTGTTGTGGCACAGTTTAAAAAACAACCAGTAGTCCAATCTTTATAATGAACTCGAAATGTCCTAAACAATTGCATGACAATTTGATGTACATTGCTCTGTCTAGATGTGTCCGTTGGATAATTTGTAGGAAAGATTTCTTTAGACTGTGTATTATGGTTTATCTTTCTTATTAGGATGTTTCCCGATCAATGAGAAGAGAAAACAGTTTGGGATACCATTTGAAAATTTCATATTTGCATTTCATATATTTAATTGTTACGTCGATTTTTTGATGTACTGTCAACAAAGGGGCCAAGTATAAGTATATATATATTTTGTATACATGTCTGCTTGTTTGCTCTTTGTAAAGAGCTTTAATTAATTAAATATTTCCAAAAACTTTTGGAGAAATGTGTGTTCAGATATTTAAAACCAAGATATTTTATTATCTGTCTATATTATATTTATACACTATTATTAAATCTCAATTAAAGAAATGATATCTCATTGAAATAAAATATAAATATTTGACTATGAAAACATATGACTGAATGTATTAGTATTTAATTTTTTATACATTTTTTTTTATTGTAATCTTTTACATTTTTATACTTTTCTTGAAGAGAGCACATTATGAACTTTGATTTCCTTTTATTTTCAATTCTTTGTAACATTTTTCTTAATTTTTTTTTAATCTCAGTATATTTAATTAGCAGTAACAATATATTTAATTAATTTTTCTCATTGTTCTTGATTTGTATTAAGTTTTTAATAATTGATCTTTAATGCTTAATTATAAAGTATTTGATAATTAGTGATGGTAAAAGAAATATAGCTTTAATATTAAATATTTTAACGTGTAAGGTTGTGGTTATGTTTGCCAAATTTAAACAGCTATTCTCCGTCCATTGTCTAATTGTGTCTTGACTACCTTCAATATGTACTTAAAACTAATTGTAAGGTTTTCATACAAGTCTGTACATTTTCTTTTCACTATCAAATCAACATTTTTGGTGATGAATTAGAGAAAGATCTGGAGTAACATATTAAAATAGGTGGTAAGTGTTTTTCATTACAAATATGAATTAGAATAGATGACGTAACTACAAACTTATGGACTTTATGAGAAAAAAAAATCTAAGAATAAGGTAATAAAATAAAAACATGGTTTTATCAAAAAATATTATTTTTCCTGTAATAGAAAAATTAGAATAAATGATATAATAGAAAAAATGTCCCAATTTTAGCATAAAAATCTTGTTTTTATATAAAAGAGGGATTATAAACTATAGACAAACTCTAAAATAGGTTCAATAAAATAATGTTGATTTAAATTCAATTTCAAATCAAAATACCTATATATAAAAAATTTGGCTAGAAAAAATTTAGAGAATTGACAAAACCATATGTATATTTTTTTAAAAAATCTGAGAATAGATTTACTATCCATGAATAGCTTTTAAAGCATAGAGACCAGTAAGTTAGTAGTGACATCTATGTAGAGTTTTTATAATGAACTAAGGTACTTCTGACACCTATCTATGTTTGTTTGAAACACTTACAAATATAGGGTTTTAAAACGATTCTAATCTAAATCTTTAATAAAACCAATATTGCCTAATATCTGTTGACAACACTATAGTTAAATAACAATAATAATAAAAAATCAAGTTGATTTTTTTTATAAAATGAAGTAATTTTAAATGTTCAATATTTTTGTGCAAAAGTGTAAAGTTTATTATAAGGAAAAGGCGTCATTTTAGAATCCTATATATGCCTTATTAATGTACCTCTAAATCATGCAATAACATGCCACAAAAGGTATTAAAAAGTATACATAATCGTTATTATGTAATACATAAGTAAATAAATATTTATGATAAATAGCATAATAATATCAAACCATATTTAGCTTTAGTTAGTTAATGATAAAAACATTGCCTTAAAATATTTTAAGATTAGGACCTGTGTATTTGATGATTTTTAATGTTTGACTAAATCAAAAATATATTAAATTGTATTTCTTATTGGCTTCATTCTAATACAAAAGGTTTTCTACGATGAACTACCGAAATTTGCTGGTTATTTAATTGGGTGCCGAATGGTTAACACTAAGCTCTGAGCGGCTCTCTAATAATTTGCCTAAAAATGCCTCGTTTATAGGTGAAACACGTGTCACAAAACGTACGTGATCAAAATGGCAGTCGGAAACTGATGGCTAATGTGGAACTTCAGGTAGTAATAGTGGTGGACAATCTTCGAGTGTTGGCAGTCGCACACATACTGATGGTAGCGGAATTAAACAAAATAATTTTAAACAAATAAACAGTTTCCTCAAGATAACACGTAATTCATTAAAACGTTTACCGAAATTTGCACAAAAAAATTGTATTGTTTGAAAGAAAACAAACTTGAAGGGAACTCCAGTTATTTGATCGAAATATCTATCGTCTTCAATTACGGAATCGGTCCCTTCTAACAGTTGGTATTATTTTCTTTTTATTAATAGTTAAATAAAACATAAAAAAATAAAAAAACATAGCCGCTAATTACCGTTAAGACATAGACGCAAAAATTTGTCAATGTAACTTAACTATTTTGAAATTGAAATGTTCAGCCTACCACCATTATGTTTTTTTTAATGGGTGATAATAGAGTGGTAACCTCTCCCGCGCTATTAGTATACGCTGGCGGGGCACCAATGAGAGATCATAGGACACAATGACAACAGATCAGTTAGCTCATCATGACGAATTCCACTAGAAACAACCACGATGCTTTCTAGGGGGAACCGCGTAGTGGTCGACCTGACAGGGCGTAGTGCTAGTAACGGGTCAGTTAGACCCCATTACTATCTCTCTCTCCCCATCATTATGATATTAGCTATTATTCTTTACCTATGTTTAACACTATGTAGTTGGGGGGAAAGGGATTGTTAGTAATGGGCTCTGATTTCCCTATAACTAGCAATACACCCTATCAGGTCGACCTCCACGCGGTTCCTCCTGGAAACTATCGTGATTAATTCTAGTGGAATTCGTCACGATTGGCTAACTTGACTTGCTTTTTCATAGTCACCTATCATCCGTCACTGGTGCCTCGCTAGTGTATACCGATAGCGCAGGCGGGGTTACCATTCCATTATCACACATTAAAAAAAAATGTAAACACTATGTAGTTAAATGTTGCAAAATGCACAGGTCCTTATTATAGATAAATCAAAATATTGTTTTATTCTGCAGTCGACAAAATTAATTTATCCATTTGAAAAGACTGGAGAATTATAAGTATGTATTAGTAAATCGTTTACTTGTAAGTTTTATGATATAATTGTAATAAAATAGATACCTACCAAAATTACGCGAACGAAATTCGACATTTTAATGTAATAACTACCGGTTTAATTTACGTGTAATTAGGTTGGGAAATCTCAACTAGTTTCGATATCATTCCGGACCCTTAATCGTGAATGACACTGACGCGAACGCGAGCCTGACTGCGCATCTCGACCTAATTACATTAAAATGTGTATTTACAAAACTTTTAACAATGAAATTCGACATGTTACTCTAAACGCATTGAAATCGATTCTGCGACCCAATTTTGTTTAAGCCTATCGCGAAAATTAAAATTTTAATTTTATATCGCAGTGAAATCTTTTTTTTTTAATTTTTTTTTTATCAAATTATTGTTGAGGCTTTAGTACACCGGAATGACTATGCCAGCCTCATAGGGATTGTCTGAAAGTCAGTCTGTCAGTCCGTCAGGGACAAAACTTTATTTTAAAGACCAATATCAAGTAAATTTCTAATAAAGTCAAAATTATTGTACATTTAATTTATAAATGGTACATAAAACTGTAATTTCGCGCATCTGTCAAGGAAAATGGCGATTCAGAATCGAGTCCAATGCGTATGTACATAGCAATAATGAGGTCAATTTTAATTCGCTATTTCTCAAAATCGATTTATTCACACCAAAGTAAAATATATTTTTGGCGCCAATTTTTTTTTTATAAAGTTTCACGCTTAACCTCTGTTAACTATCTGTTCGGACGCGTAATTTCGGCTCTCACATCGCTACATCACGAGCGACCCTTGAATAAAATAATTTATTACTAATTCTGACTGAATCAATTGGTAATCTTGATATTTTATACATCGTTCAGTTTTCAAACTTTGTACGTGGGACCACCGAGCTTAATTCTTTAGTACATAAGTATTACCTTTATTATTATTACTTCTAGAATATTCTAGTGTAACAAAATGCAATAATAACGTGCCTTTTACTGTAATCATTGTCTTGCCTATTCAAGATGTTGTATAAATCTCTTATAAATATATGACAGTATATAAAAATTATGCCCAAAGATGAAAATCTAATATTTCGCAATTGTGCGTTATTTGGGTGTATATTATTTTTTGAATTTGTATAAATAATTATGAACGCATGTGAGTTCATAAGGAATAATTGACTAAGGTTGTAATTCAATAAATCCTGTTTTTATTTATTGTTCTCTTTTTTTTTATACAACTTAGAATGGCAAAAAAGTTGACGGCCCACCTGATGGAAAGTGGTAACCATCGCCTATAGACATGAGCAGTACCATGGACATAACAGAATACTGTTTCGGCCATGATACCCCCCATGCGTTGCCATTCCTGAGGACTCAGATATTATTTCTCTGTACCCAGTAAATTCACGCCATATCCCACCCTTCAAACCGAAACACAGCTGCTTCACGGTTGAAATATGAATGGGACAGAGGTACCCAAGCAATCGACTTTTGTAAAAAGTCTCCCTCCTTATTTTCTCATATTACGCCGACCCCAAATATAAATTGGGATAAGGGTAGGAAGATGATTATGGTCTCTTTATGTATCTCCTTCCACTACCCTAGATTCTAAAACCTATTTTACACAAATATATAATACGTGATTCCTAATGCCTTCATCACCCTTGAGCTGGAGTTCTTTCACTATTTAGTGAGCTTGGTACACAACCACGCTTCTCGTGCATTCCTACCTCATATATCTAGGATGTGACATGAGCTCTCTTCTTCGTTATTCCTCTTAAAATATGATATGAGCCTTTTTAAAAACGTGCCTACAAACATTTAAAAAGCGACAACGCAGAAACAATTGTTCGTGTCACCTGCTACCTTCGCTCGTGGACATTTGCAAAACTCCTTTTGTTTTGCAAATGTCCATGAGCGAAGGTAGTATGGTTCCATCAAGTGGACCGACTGTTCTTTGGCCTTCCCAATAATACAAAAAAAGTTAAACTGTACTACTTAGTCAATAATGCGCGTCTCTCACGCTAACGCACCTACTGAATTTAGCTATGTACTCTCTTTTTCAAACCCGTTTATTTACACAAACACAACTAAATTTGCCATGTGCATCACATGGTTTTTTTTTTATGCAACTTAGAATAGCAATCAAGCTGACGGCCCACCTGATGGAAAGTGGTAACCGTCGCCTATAGACATGGGCAGTACCATGGACATAACAGGGTGTACTATTTCGCCCATGATACCCCCCATGCGTTGCCATTCCTGAGGACAGTGGTGTTATTCCTCTGTACCCAGTAAATTCACGCCATATTCCATCCTTCAAATCGTAACATAGCCATGCAAACAACTGCTTTACGGTTGAAACATAAATGGGACAGAGGTACCCAAGCAAACGACTTTTGTACAAAGTCTCCCTCTGGTAAATGGTTTAACAATAACCATTAAATTTGGATCATAAAATATAATACCCAATACAAACAGCTGTTACCAGCTAAGCTAATACGCGAAACGGCACTTCGCGTAAGTATATCGTGCACAATACTCTTTCAAGACTTGTAGTGGAATGAAATCGGAAACATGTTTAATAAAGAGTAGTAAAATAAAATTCAATATATGAAAAGCAGGGCCTTACAATAAGAAGAACAATATTAATTTGTAGCAATGTTCATACTTACTACTCTAATCCATGCAATATCTATCTATTGATATAAAATACTGAATGCAACTCTTCAACGAGCCATTAAATCAATTACATAATTCTAGAATAATACACAGTAGTAATAATAATAAATAATCTTTATTTCACTCTTTGTTACAATATAGTTCGAAGTCCCTAACTCCCGAGGTAGGTATGAAAAAACCTGTGTTTCAGGAGTCAGTGCCCTCTTCCATATATTGGCTGTATTACATTTTTAATGAAACAATATGAAACAGTGAAGTAACAAATACAAAAATTACAATGGAGCCCATAATTTTAGAGAAACAATAATTTATGGGTTCAGTGAAATTGTGATAAAAATGTATGCGTGTGTGTGTGTGTGTGCACGTGCGCGTGTATGTATGAGTGTGGGTGTGTATGACATATGAATAGAATATGTATAAGTGCATTCTAAATATGTTAGCATTAAGAAGGATTTTTAAATTCTTATGGAAGTGGGAGACAATTGTTCCATATGCGATGTACTACCAGTTACAGCTAGTAATAAATGTCGAAAAAATAAAACAAAAAAATTCCAAGTACATATATTTCACACAATTTACAAAACAGAACGTGCTATCCTGATGGATGCATCTGCATTTTTACCATTAGGAGGCACGGCGTGCTCCAAGATCCAGCCAGTGTGCCTATCTACCCTAGTGAATACATCAGGTGTGCTGTCATCACAGGCGGTGAAGTAAGAGGACAGGCCTATCAGGGTCTCCCCGATGATTAGAGGCGCTCCAGAATCGCCGGTACATACGCTGGTGCCTTCAGATGCAGCGCACAACACTTCTGTCGAAGTTAATATAAATATAAATCAATAAATTCAATAGCTACGGAGTGCATAATTAGTGTCAGTGGTACAAAGATTTACGTTATTATCACTGTCATGGCCATTAAAAAGGCATATTATGTACTCTCAAACATATCTTTGTCATGTCGCATCAGCCCCGCCTGCGCTAACGGGATACGCTGGCGGAGCACCAGTGAAGGGTGATAGGTGAGAATGAAAACAGGCCAGTTAGCCCATCATGATGAATTCATCAGGAATTAACCATGATAGTTTCCAGGGGGAACCGCGAGGAGGTCGACCTGGTTGGGTATATTACTAGCAATGGGATTCTCAGTCTCCATTACTAACAATCCCTTCCCCCCCTTAAAATGGGGTTATTTTTTAATGCTCCCCCGTAGGAGTGCAACATAGTCCCGGATATTAAGTTTCAGGTTTTTTATCTGATTTTATGTCCTTCCAATTTTTCCCTCACTCTTTACTGCCATTTTTCCTTTCATTCCTCACATCCATTCCATTTTCCGTTTGTTATGTCTATTTTGTTGGTCATTTCAAGAATCCGTCAGTTTGTTCTCAGTTTGTATTGTTTCCAGTTATCGAACAACCATAGTCCCTCGGCATAGTGTTATATTTGTTTTACGGTACTGTCCACACTTCGCATATGAATCAATTTATGTTTCCAAAATCTCAGATAAATAAGTCCCTATACTGTCATTCTGTTCTTTATTTATTGTGCGTGTTATCTTTATTTCCCAGTTCTTAATTATATATTATTACATACAAAATGGGACTATTAGACCCCATTACTATCAATCTCTTTCCGCCTAAATGCTATATATTTTTTTTTTTAATGGATGATAATGGAATAGTAACCCCACCCGTGCTATCGGTATACACCGGCGGGGTACCAGTGAAGGATGATAGGTGAAGATGAAATAGATCAGTTAGCCCATTGTGACGAATTCAATAAGAATTGTTCACGATGGTTTCCAGGGGGAACCACGTGGAGGTCGACCTAATAAGGTATATTGCTAGCAATGGGGCTGTCAAACTCCATTGCTAACAATCCTTTTCCCCCCTAAATGCTATATTAGGTACAGTATTCTCTCTCATCCAGACAACCTTTGGGAAAACACAAATGTATGCAGTAAATGTCTGGATACAAGGGGGTGGTTATTATACCTCCACATCCACGAGCTTTATTAATAATAATATTGTTCAAATCGTAAATAATTAGAGCATCAATTAATTGGTGACTATATATAATAAGAAATATCTCCCCGATGAAAATACACGATTGATATAGTATTTAGTACATTTTTTTTTCGATGGATGATAATGGAATGGTTACCCCGCCTTCGCTAACAGTATACGCTGGCGGAGCACCAGTGAGGGATGATAGGTGTAATTGAAGGGCAGGTCAGCTAGCCCATGGTGATGAATACACCTGGAATTCAGCACGATGTCCAAGTGATTTTGTTGCCAACATACCTATATATCATATAAAAAGACATCTTTATTCCTGTAATCAGGCGTAACTAATATGAAATATAGACATATAGTGCAGTTTTCAGAAGCTATTATGAGGGTATAATAATCTCCGCTTCCTCTATCAATTATTTGAATGCCGTTTTTATTCTACTTTGTATGCTTTGTATTTTTTTTTTGTGCAATTTAAAATGGCAAACAAGCTGACGGCTCACCTGATGGAAAGTGGTAACCGTCACCTATAGACATGAGCAATACCATGGACATAACAGAGTATACTGTTTCACCCATGATATCACCTATGCGTTGCCATTCCTGAGGACTAAAACCTCTGTACCCTGTAAATTCACTGCCATATCCCACCTATCAAACCAAAACACAGCCATGCAAACACAACTGTTTAACGCAGAAACTCGAATAGGACAGAGATACCCAAGCAAAACTCTTGTATAAACTCTTCCTCTACCTGTTATGAGAGTCTCTGCTAATATAAGAATGTATATATATATATATATATATATATATATATATATATATATATATATATATATATATTCTAATTGACATAATAACAACTTACGGTCGTAAATAACGACGTTTTCATTTTCTTCATAAGCTGCTTCACACTGTGCTTGAGCTACCACGTTTGAGTTAATTTTCTGTAAGCTGCCAATTTGTGGCCCGTCTACCTGAAATGAACACAGAGATATTTTAAGAGGGACGTTGTTGCCCTCGCTCTCCCTTAGTCAACTCTTGCGACACCCACAGGAATAAAATAAATAGTATTCTAACTTACAAACTCAGATCCCCAGCTGACGATTTCTACAGGATATCCGTCCGGGATGAAGGTTTGCTGTGGAGGTATGTACGCGATGTTGATAGCGGCTGTAAGGGCAAGTGGGGCGGTCAGCACCACGATAGCGATATCCCCGGTTCGAGGGTTTTCAACATAGTCAGGATGTAGGATGACCTCGCGGATAGAAACCACGGTCCCGCCGACGAGGCTTGTGGAGGATCCAGCGCGGATGCTCGTGCTGTTCAGTGCTGCATCGCTATAGTTAAATATGAATAACTAGATATTGTATATGTATATATAGGTAGGTCAGGTTTTTTTGCTTATTTGGCACCTCAGTGCCGTAAAATAGGAAAGTCTGTGCCTACCCCGGAATCGACTAGTGCATACTCCAGGATCAGAAGCAGAGCTATCAACAGTGTGGAATGCTATGTCTAATATATATGCATTTTTAAGGGGCCAAGCCCCACCTCCCCTCGTGGAAAATAATCTATCAATAATTTGCAACTCACGTGAAGCAGTAAGCCGCGGTGAGTGCATGCCACGAAGAGATGAGCGAGCCGACGCACCGCTGCACGCGGAGATCCGCTGCGGGGTAATGATACTCGACGGACACCACAAACGGGTACTCGAAGATTGTAGTCGGTGTGCCGCCCACTATGCGGCTGCTGGGCGATGCTGATGCTATGGGAATATAGTAGACTAGCTTTTACCCACGAATTTGTTCGACTAACCGGCACATGTTGGGGGAGAAGGGATTGTTAATAATGCGGACTATCAGTCCCATTGCTAGCAATATGCCCCATAAGATCAACCTCCACGTGGTCCCCCCTTGAAACTATAGTTCTGAATTTTTACGATGGGCTATCTGACCTACTTCTTCATTTTTACCTATCATCCCTCACTGGTATCCCGCCTGTGTATACTGATAGCACACCCCGCCTGTGTTCATTCCATTATCATCCATTAAAAAAAATGTTTTCTCCAGTTTAGAATGATTGATATTGATTTAGCAGTTGCACAGTACATGTTAAAAATTACAGGAGAAATTTATTGAAAAACTCAGAACAGAAAAAAAAAACAGAAATAGTACGCGTATATGAGCAAAATTTACTATAACCAACGTGTGGCAACTATTCCGTACATTGTATTATTGTTTTTCTTTTCTGTTCTGGGAACAGGTGTATTTAATGGGGAGCCGGGTAGGCTGTAGAATTCACTCACCAGCAGCAATTAATGTCAAAATCAAGCAAATGATTCTAAACTCCATGACTTAACACCAATCCAGCCAATTTAACGAATACGACTGTGGTATTACAAACTATTAATGTAATAAATAAATATCACATTCTTACATTATCTTTATTATCAATAAATTGTGTGATTATTATATACTAGCTGCGCCCGCGATTTTCTTCGTGGCTTTTAAGCAATATAAGTGATAACTTTAGAATATATAGATAGAGTGTTTCCGTATGTTCCGGACGTGTGTTGACCAAATAGGCGACGTGCTGAAGAAGGGCCAAATTAACAGTACCCGTAACCGGCGAGCGTGTATGAAAAGATTGATGAATGTGGAAGAAGCGAAAGAGGTTTGTTTGAATCGAAGCATTTGGCGTTCCATTGTTTCTGTCTACCCTAATGGGAGACGGGCGTGACAGATATGTATGTATGTATGTAGTGTTTCCGTACAAATGCCTCGAGAAAAGCGGGTAAACTTTTTCATACAATTTTGCGTGACAAATAGTTATAACTGATTCCTTTATTACTTCTATATTTATTTTGTCTTATAATTTATGCACATTTTTAATGCGCATAAACTCATTTTATTCATTAAATAAATACAAATAGATACGTCAAGGTGCATTGTGTGTGTAAATATATAGAATACTAATAAAAAAAATACGAGTCAACTAATTTGACAAATTAGCTGACAAAAACTTGAGCCGTTTTAAGGCTCAAGGCTTTATTTATATAATTTAAGGACCCCTCATATTATTTTTTTTTTTTATTCTCATATACAGACATAGTGACTTACTATTTTATTATACTAGTAAGGTAACCCTTTACATGATTATAGTTAGATAAATTATTATATTATGTTTAGTAATCATTCATTCCGACTCGTTCGTTCGAGCTCTCTCGCTGCCGCCACTCAGCACGTATAACATGTCGTCTCTTTATATATAGTTTAAAATAATAAATATTCAATAATACCAAGTGCCTTTGGACTTTACATCCACTACAACCTGCATACCATAGTAAGGTATATAAATACTATACATATTACTTTAATCACGATGGTTTTAGGATTAATTACGTAATAAGATAGTGATATTTATTGGAAATCTAAATTTCGCCAAAGTGAGATCCGATGTACTTACGCATTTTTTTTATACATTTCTTATTTTACCCGTCGCCTATAGACATGATCAGTACCATGGACATAACAGAGTATACTGTTTCGCCCATGATACCCCCCCATGCGTTGCCATTCTTGAGGACTCGGGTGTTATTCCTCTGTACCCAGTAAATTCATTATTTATATCTATTATAATATTAAGTGTTTTGTTAGATTTTTATTTAGGTATTTTACTGAACTAGGCGTTATTTTGCGAAATCAACGGTTTAGTTTATTCGATTAGAATTATTTTGTTTAATTCCGACTTACCAGTTCTTTTTTTTTATGAATGATAATAAAATGGTTACTTCGCTTGCGCTAACGGTATACGCTGGCGGAGCACCAGTGAAGGGTGATAGATGAGAATGAAAACAGGCCAGTTAGCCCATCATGATGAATTCATCAGGAATTAACCATGATAGTTTCCAGGGGGAACCGCGAGGAGGCCGACCTGGTTGGGTATATTGCTAGCAATAGGATTCTCAGTCTCCATTACTAACAATCTCTTTCCCCCCATTTTTTCTGTTTCTCGAATGTAAACACATCCTTAGTATTCCCGATTGACACTGCTGTAGTGTTGCCAGATACTTCACTTCTTACCTTGCTTTTTTTGATAACATAATTGTAAATATTATAACATTTGTTTACACTTTAAACGGATATCCGAAACTTACGCAAATATTAAAACTTGCAATCGAAACGAATGTAAACATAACATCTCTAGTGATGTCTAAAACAGTTATATTTGACATTATTGCTAAATAAATGGATAAATATATTTGTTTCAGCCTACCCTAATGGGAGATAGGCGTGACAGATATGTATGTATGTATATTTGGCAATATAATTCAAAATTATTAATTAAAAACTGCGATACGATGCAAATCACAATGATTAATATCAACAATTCATCGTGTACTTAAAGATTTACTCTTATAAAAGGAATTGTTACTAACTTGGACTAGTGATTTCATTGCTAGTAAACTTGCATGTATAAAATTTATTTAAATGGGAAATCTGCTTATATTTATGGTAACCTGTTTTAGTCCTTTATTTCAACTTAGTAAAGATTTATACATTACGTACGTATCTATTTAGACAGTTGTCACTTACTCTCCACATGATAGATATGACTGATAAAAAGAAATTTAATGTAAAATATACGTAAATTTCTCATAGTGTTAATAATTTGCATGCCGACATAGAAGCAGAATGTATATGGGAAATGTAAATGTAAAACTACCTTCATTAAAGCAAAATAAATTAATTTTATTTCGCAATCTTATATTAATCTTTGAGTATAAATAAAAACAGTTTTTGTATCTTTTATCAAATTTACATCTGAATTCAGTTACTACTTATTATTAATATTACAGTCAATATGATGATGATTTTAAAGAGTTATTTTACAATAAATGTAGATTAGGGCTATTCCTATTCTCCACTAGATGTAGTGACGACCTTAAATGCATTGCAGGGAGTCAATGGATGCAGGTGGCTCAGGAGCTTTCTTTATGGCAGTCTATGGGAGGCTTATGTCCTGCAGTAGACGAATAATGGCTGAAATGATGATGATGATGATCAGGGCTATTCCTAATAAATACCTACCTGGAATTCTTTTTCTGCGCTTAATATGCTATGAATATATAAAAATACATTGTCTTATGTAAACTGTAATAATATGTAATATGTTTGTGAATATAAAACTTAGTTCTTAGTGTAAAACGTTTTAAAAAATAAAAAAATGTTTATTACAAAAAAGATTGTATAATACACTAAATACTTTTTAACTTTTAAGAAAATCATTGATTGATTGATACATAAAGTGTAAATTTTGACGTTATAAAAAATACCTACAAAATTTCTAGTATTGATTATAAAAAAAATATTAGTATTAAGAGAATTATGGGAAATCAGCATACAAGAGGCTATTTACCGGATTTTACAGGATATAACTATGCCGGTGATAGAAAAACCAAGAGTAGAAGTAAATCAATTATCTACACTGAACCACATAATAAAAAACTAAGAAAAATAGGCAAGTCAAAACCTGCCAAAGTAACTAGAAACAGTGAAAATAAAAAAAATAGATTGCTATTGAAAGGAGATATTCCAATTATATTGGGTATTTTAAATTTAGAATATAACTACCCGTTGCAAATACGTAGAAAACATAGCCACATACAACATTGTTATTCGGAACACAAACTAAGAAGACCATGCCATCGATTTTGTCAAAGAATTCAATCGTATCCTTGTGCGTCGTATTGTTTTGAATGTAACAAAAAATCTGTAAAATAACAGAGTAAATATTTTAATGAACTATACTTTTAATGATGTACTTATTTTGTTTTTGATACTCTTGTAATTCGTCAATTATTAACAATAAAATGTGGGAATTTAATTTACACTGACATTTATTATTGGTAAAATGTAATGTTGTTGCGGCAACACCGCACAGTGGCGCGCCTTCGTACGAGGTGAACGTGTTTCGCTCGTCGTGTATCATTGGAAATCAAAGTATTCATGTTTCTTTTGTAATTATTGCATTAAACCATTATTAATCCTATTTGTGACGTTTTAGTGATTATGTGTTCTTATCTTATGAGTGGTCGGAGTATATGATAAGGGTAAGTTACCATATAAACATTTTATCTTGTTAGTTTTTACAGAAGACGTCCGATTCTTGCACCGTGCGGTGATTGTGTAAAACTATATTTTATGCACTATACTGTATCTCTATGAGATTACTGTTCAATTATTTACCATCTTCGCAAACAGATATATATTTTCTGCCAGTATTAATATTAATAATGTACGCCTTCGGTACATAATGTTATTGTAATGTTTTCTTAAACGTCATTGGTGTCTAAGTTAAGTATTTTAAGTTTGTCATTCTGCACGGAAGCGCTAAGATATTCATGTTACCTAACCTATTAGAATCTTATTAGAATTCCTCCCTTTATTTGTTGTAAAACTTTAAAAACTATCTGATAAGCTTATTGTCTTATTATTATTATTTTTTTTATTATTTCGCTTTATTATCAATATTAATAGAATTAAATATCTATACTTAATTTACATTTCATTTAATAATAACAAAATTTATAATTAAAAAAATAGGGTAGGTAGTTTAAAATAAAATCTATCTATTGCCGTACTTATATAGATATATTTCTTATTTGGTAAATATTTATTAATTGGTTAAAAATGTCAATTTTAAGTTATAGCTAAGTATATATTTGAATTCTTTATATCCAATCAGAAGTCTATACTAAGATGTCTCTGTCCATATGTCTTTCTGACCTCAAGCTACTGCACTTGTGTAGTTGTTTTACTTTGAAGTGTGGGGTATGACAGTAAAATTTCATGGCAACTATGGAAGTATACCTTAGTCCTTAGAAATAACAATATATGAAGAATATCATGGCTGTCAATGTATTATGTGATGATGTAGTACTGTCTATGTTTATGACTACCATTTTCCATTAAATTAGCTATATCTTGATTGTTATTCAAAATTGTATAAAAGATGTCTGAATAGTAATTTTTTATACAATTTTGTAATACTCAGTAACTTAGTCAAGAGGTTGAGATTATTCCTTGTAAATTCATCACAATGCTTTAATAATCTAGAAGGATTTGGTAACTCTTCATTTTTATCTATAATTAAAAAAGAAAAAACATATACTTACACTTATTTTATAATTCCATTTTTTTTTTAATTGTTGACCACCTATACTGCCAGTACAAATTAAATTCTATATTTGAATCCAAGTCTGATTGGTCTTACTAGTGTAATAAAAAATAAACATTTTTTTATAATATTAAATCAGAGCAAAGGAAACAATTGGCTCGCAGCCAATGCCACCTGTAAGTGCACTTTGTTAAGAAAACAGGTGAGAAACATTTTCTAACGGACAGACAACTAATAACATTTTCCGTGTCTGTGTTTCTGTTTACTTTAAATAGTTTTATTAAAAAATATTTCATAAGATGTGAAGGAAGAATAAATGACATCATATTAATTATTGTAGTTTCTGTTAAAACATAAAGTTTACTGTCATGTAAATTACAAAGTCTGACAGTTAATATAGAAAAGTAGGTAAAATATGCTAATGACTATAGTCATTGATGGGGTAGTCATATGCAAAATAAAGTTTAAATTGCATTTAATAAAGCAACAACTAGGTTTCACAGGAATATTTTTAAAATGAGTAAGTATAAATGTATCATCATCATAATATATAAATTTAAGGCTTTGAGAAAACTGAAATATGATTTTCACAATGTCAGGTCATTATGTAATATTTTGTTTATTTGTTTAAAATTCATTGTCAGATATCATATAGAGAGAAAATTAATATATAAAGGAGATATAGAGCACAGGACAGACTTAGCCCAAAAAAGAGGTCTTCCAATTTACTACTAACAAATTATGTGAGTATTTGAAAAAAGTTTTGTTTAAAGAATACACATATGCATACAACCATTTTTTATTAGTATAATCTATATGTTAATAGACAGCTCTGTTTATTTTTATGAAAATGAAACGGTAACCCTGTCTGTGCTATTAATATATGCTGGTGGAACACCAGTAAGTAATGATAAGCGAGGTTAATGACATCAGTTGTGCTTTCATAACGAATTTAACAATTTTTTTTATACAACTTAGAATGGTAAACAAGCTGACGGCCCACCTGATGGAAAGTGGTAACTGTCGCCTATAGACATGAGCACTACCATGGATATAACAGAGTATACTGTTTCGCCCATGATACCTCCCATGCGTTGCCATTCCTGAGGACTCAGGTGTTATTTCTCTGTACCCTGTAAATTCACTGCCATATCCCACCCTTTAAATCGAAACACAGCCATGCAAACAACTGCTTCATGGTAGAAACACGAATGGGACAGAGGTACTCAAGCAATCGACTTTACTACAAAGTCTCCCTCTGGTAAATTATTATCCACTATGGTTTCACACCTGATGGTAAGCAGTTACAGTAGCATATGAACGCCTGCAGTAACAGATGCATTACACATAAGTTGCCAACCCTGATGGAACTTCTTTACCCCGTTTTTGAAGAACCCTATACTGTGGTCTTTTGGGAAAACCTTGACAAAATGGGATATGTAAATTTAGAAATAACTTTTAGACCCTATTAATAATAATTCCTTTCCCCCAAATGGCTCAGTTGGACAACATTGACATTGGCAGTCTAGGCTCCAAGATTAAATTCCAGCCTAAACTTCTTTTTAAATTCATGTTTGGACTGAATACTATTTTTACTGACTATGTAATTATATTATCCATGGTATAATCTCAAGTCATTGAAATCTCACACGCTACTTATGTGCTTTACCTATCATGTCACCCATGACTGATTGAAATCTGTCGACAGAATTCTAAATAAGGTTGCTATCTTGTTTGAAAAGTATGTTCAGTGTGACCCGAGAGGATTTTTTCTTTTCTTTTTTTTCTTATTTATCATTGCCTTTTTTTACTTTGTTTTATTATTTAAGGGTTATTTTTTATGGCATTATAATGACTTTTTTATCCAACAATTCTGTCCGCACTACCGATATACGCTGGCGGAACACAAGTGATACCAAGGTTAAATGGCCTATCATGATCAATTTCTATACGCTGGGGGGGGGGGGGAGGAGTGATTGTTAGTAAAGCGGACTACCAGTCCCATTGCTATCAATACTCTGTCAAGTCGACGTCCACGTGGTGCCCCCTGGAAACTATCGTGCTGAATTCCAGGTGTATTCATCACGATTGGCTAACCGACCTGCCCTTTCATTCTCACCTATCATTCCTCACTGGTGCTCCGCCGGTATATATAAAGTTAACGCGGGCGGGGTTACCATTCCATTATCATCCATTAAAAAAAAAAAAAAACTCTTTACGATGTCCTTCCTGGAAACCATCAAGGTTATTTTTTGGTAAATTGGTCTAGACTGGTGCCCCGCCAGCGAATACCGATAGCGCAACCGGGGTTACCATTCCATTATCATCCATTAAAAAAAAACCTAGTGAAGGTCATGCATGTTTGTTTTCGAGCCTCATTAGTTTCGCACGCCATCTATAATGTCAATGTACATTCATTAAATATTGCTGGGAACTAATAAGAAACAACGGAATTAACTTCTCGTTCTAAATTGTTTGAGCTAATATTTTCATCAGGTTTACAAAAAAAAGGAGGCCAGTCGGTCTGAATATTTTCCAGTGTTTACGAGTTGTCAATTTTTCTCACCGATTTTGTTGAGTCTTTTTCTGATTTACTGGGTTTACTCCCGTCTTATTCTCCCGTTTTAAGTGGGTGACATAAAAAAGAAGGATAAATAGTATTATTCGTGTATGTTGTTACGTAATCAATCTTCCTTAATTTTGCATCGATTTTGTTGATTCTTTTTTGCATTAGTTGGATTTTAAACTCGTGTTGGTTCCAATAATTTTGGTATGATTAGAGTCCTTGTTTCTCTTTGGGAATATACTGTGAATATTTTCATACATGGGAAGTTTTTTTTTTGATGGGTGAAAATGGTATAGTAACCCCGCCTGCGCTAACTCACTTCTCTCCAGTGAAGGATGATCGATGAGAATAAAAACAGGCCAGTTGGCCCATCATGATGAATTCATCAGGAAATAACCATGATAGTTTCCAGGGGAAACCGCGAGGAGGTCGACCTGGCTGGCTATATTGCTAGCAATGGGATTCTCAGTCTCAACAATCCCTTTCCCCCATCCATATATGGGAAGTTAAGTTCTTTAAAATTATTTTTAAACACACCTGTCGTTTGCTCTTCAAATTCAATATTATGAGGAATCAGGCTCCATCTAGGTCAACGACACACAATACCTAAACTTTGAAATTGGTTCGACCAATTTGAAAAAGTTAGTTTTCTAAATTGGCGCGACGGACTCAAACTCGGGACCTCATTTATGGAAAGCAACGCGCCCACTACTGCGACAGACTACGGCCGTCGTAAAATGTCGCCACCAAAGGCGTAATGGAAATCAGTGGCGAATTTCAAAGTAATTGCGTAACATACAAATATTCAGACATTTTTTTTTAATGGTGATAATGGAATGGTAACCCCGCCTGCGCTATTGATATACGATAGATAGATAGATAGATAATTTATTCAGATTACTTACAGCACACAAATTACAATAAAAAAAATATACACATAATACACAGCAAAAGAGACAAAAGAATAAAAATAAAAAAGCACAAATAAAAAAATAAAATAAAATATATAAACTAACAATCTCCTTTCTTACCCTTCCTACATGCGTGTGCCATAGTAACACAAAATGGTCACAGCTCAGTTTATTGCTTTGCCCTTAAAAGAGCAAAACACTGATATTCTGCTGTGGCCAAGACATCAGTGAGGGATGATAGGTGAGGATGAAACCAAGATAGATGGCCCATAATTAAATTAACGACGATGGTTTCCTGGAATAACCGATAGAAGGTTGACCTGCTATAACAGCAATAGCCTGTTAGACCCAATTATTAACAATACCTTGCCCCCCCCCCCACCCCACCCTTCCCAAAACAGAAGATTTAAGAACTTTCTATATTAGGGAAAAGGGATTGTTAGTTATGAGTTCTTA